AAGAATATGTCAATTTTAATTGGTTTGTATTGAAATTAAATTTGGCTATGTCCTTATGGAATATGGAATATAACAATGATAAATAGATAAATAGATGCTGCTTTACGAAATTGAAAAGTTCTCCAAAGTTAACATTTGATTAAAATCAAATATCAGAAATCACCAGAAAGTAACGAATTATTTATAAGAAATTAGAAATTAACTTAAATCTAACAGTTCCAAAACCAACTACTTTTTAGTCTTAATTCGATGATAAACAGGACTGAAATAATTTGTGACGCAAAATTGTACTAATATCTAGAACTCTAAAGCATCTAGAACTCTAAAGCGGAACTGAACCGAAAAAACAGTTATTTTTATTGATTTGAAATGAGAACTGATATATTTTATTTTCATTGAATCAGAATGAAATTGTTCGATTCGAAGCAATAATTCCCACAAAAATATAACTCATTCAATTAAATAAGATTTAAGAATTTTAAAAGTGAAAACCTATATGAACAGTTGTAGTTGCAGAGATATCTTCGTTTTTTCAGTGCTTTCACTGTACAATATAAAATTCAACCTTCAGAAACTGCATCATTTTATTTATAAATATTGTCATATTATAATTTTTCTGATATTAAAAAATTTTTTGTTTATTTGGTATTTAATTTGCCATCATAATTTATCAAGACTTGCCCCAGTAGTTGCCACAATACGATGTTTGCAAGCAGTACTGTGGTTATTGCGGCAAATTAATGAAAATAGAGACTTTTTTACTCAAAATTATTTAAACATTTTTGTACGGGAAATGCGACTAATTGCAATACAATTAGTACGTAAATTGTAAACATGAGTTAATAGAGATAGTATAAACGTACTGTAAAACTAGTTAAATGCCAATCAAGCGACAGCCAGCAATTAAACGGAAATATCAGAAAGTAAAAAACAAAATACTTTGCAATAGTATGACATTTATTTCATAATATCATCAATCTTTTATCAATATATTCTTTTATAAATTTAAAATTGAACAATATCAACGCAATCCTTATTCAAATATAACGACAAAAGCAATCACATTTATTAACGAATATCAAATTTTATCACAGAAGTGGAGCAATCTTAAAAAGATGTGAAAAGCAGTACCACTGGAGAATTTAAATACGACACAAAATAAAGAGTCAGTTGAACTTGTCTCTAAAGAGCAAGACACTTTACCAGTGATCCGCTCTTCTTCAGACAGACAACACCTGCTGAGAGTACAAGATATTAGTAGATCGTGACAAACAAAAGATGTAAAGAACAAGAAAAACAAGAAGTTAAATTAGTTTACGGACAGCAGTGGTTCAAGTTTAGAAGTTTCACATACTCGTACGTACATATGCGTATTTAGTACAAGAGACTCTTCCATATTCGTGTTGCAATAGACAAGCTAATCTCACCTATTATCAGGTAAGTGAAAAGTGAATAGTTGAAATAATTGGAACAGCATTGCTGGCAGATATGACAACATATTTCTACGTGAACGAAGCTTTTATCGAGCAATCACATTTCGAACAGCTGAAGTACAGTTGTTAAAGGACATTATTTCTACTTTCTACTTACATACATTAAAAATTATACCACGAACTGAAATTATTTCGTTCATTTAAAAAAAACATTTAGATATCCAGATACTTTCACCAAAATGCGGTTTACCAAGTTATGTATATTCTACTCTTGCAAATTCATAAAAATATAATTATATAAATATTTCGTTCATATAAAATTTTTATTTTATTTTATAGATTTTCTAGTTGACGTATACTTTTTGTTATCTAATGGCATTTGCAACTGGAACTTTAAAACTCATTTGTTGTGTGCAAATGTATTTCTACACTCTTAGATTAGTAAAAAATCTGCAGACCGTTCTCTTAAGAGAGCATAATTCTTCTGTGAAAACACATCTTAAGCGGGGAGTCAGGTGGGGGTCACGAAAAGTGGTTAACCAGAAACAAAAAAAAACATCAACAAGCCAGAAAGCCGAGAAGCAATGAAGTTTGACACACTAACCTAATTCAAAGATTCGATTTTCTGGTTTTCCTTAATGAGTTTTAAGATTGCGACGCACTGCGCTATTCATTTTTAATTTAGTTATAACAAAAGAAACGCATTTGTTTACTAATTAAAAGGAGTAAAATCTATTATTACAATTAACAATTAAACCACATCACTCAAAACGAAAAAAATATGCTTTATATTAGAACTCACCCTTGGTGTGTGAAGAGTTGCGGATGTCCTTTTCTTACAAGAGTGGAAGCTGCAGTTTTCAAATAGAATGGATTTTGAAATAAACTCGTTCCCGCTTCTTTCCTGTTATAATTCTTTACATTTGTTTTTGGTAGAGAATAAATTTAAAAAAATTTTTTCATTAGGTTTATAAAAATATAAATTTTTTATTCTATTTTTATTTCAATGCATGCAGGTATATTTCAGTATATTCTTTTCCCTGAATTTATTTCAAACTTTATTTGTTTTCGTTGTTTTAATTTGCACCTTGCCAACTGAGATTTTCTTAAAATGATCTATTCTTTATTATTTATTATTTATAGATTACAATTAAAAACAAAAATATATTAGTTTTCTAGCACATATACGCACGTACTCGCTTGAAAAATTCTTATACAATGTGAAAATCTAATATTTTAAGGTAGCAATATTCTATACTGACAAAGGAACGAAGAGAAGCGAAACATATAAACAGACTCAAAGAAACTAAAAAATTAAAAACAGAGTGTAGATCTTTCACATTCAACATTTTGTACATAAACCGTAATTTTTTCTTTTAGAGTAGCAAAAAATTACTCGTAACTTACGAAAGAAAACATGTGAAGCAACAACAAAAGCCGTAGTATTTTGTTTGAGAGTATCAAAAAAAACACTCTCAACTTAAGGCAGAAACCATGTGAATCAAAAACAATAAATGCATCCTTCAGAGTAAGGTTTCACTCGAAAAAAATTTTACGACTTAACTTTCAGTGCAGCCGAATTCAAAAATCAATCTATTGTGAATGTTTACTAGAAACATGGTGTGAAATGTCACTCATACATTAAAATCATACAAGAATTTCGTTTACTAATAAATTTAAATACATAAATTAATTTAAATATATAAGATAAAAATGCTTATCATTACCATTCTAACATTCATTATGTTTTCTTTTATTTAAATTAATAAATTTTAAGTGCTTATAATTTTTGTATTTCATATTGTACTCAACACAACAAAAAACATATGTTTCTTTTTACAACTCTGAAAGAATTATATATGTATTCTTAAACCCCTCAAAAAATATTTTATTTATTTTGCTATTCATTTCATTTTTTTAATAAATCTTAATTTCATCTTGAATTTATATCATATTTTTGTATTGTTGTTGCGCTCGTAAAAAGGTATTAGTTTTATATAGTCAACCAAAATTACAATTTAACTATGATTTGTATAAAACTAAAGGCGTTTTCGGCAGCTCGCAGTAAAGTAGCTTCGGCCAGTAAAGAACGCAATAGGCGAACTATTGTGAACCTTCATTGGAAACTCCAACGAATATTACAATTATATGTCAAAAATCATATGTTAACAAAAATTTAAATAAAATTCACAAATTTGATTGTGAAAAATAAAATTTCTTTTGCAAACATGTCACAAAAGAACTAATAAAATAAGCACTATAAGAACTAAGAAATTTTGAAAAATATATAATAATTCTTTGCAATTATTAATGAGAATATCTTTTTTTACATGATTATAAATAAAATATAATTTTTCGTATCTTTTAACAGTTAAATAATACATAGAACAAATAACATATTTATTACGAACAATGACGACACGAAATACGAATAATTAACGAAATCATTCTTTGACAGATAACTGGAAATTTCGTATGTGCTTCCAAAAATCGTTCACAATAGACGAATTTTCAGTGTTGGCAACCATGTGACTTAAGCTGCTCATCAGATTGGACTAAATAAGCCAGCATTGTTGTTTCATATATTACTTTTAAAATAAGCAATTGAAAACGCCTAATGTATATGAGTACATGAAAAAAGTATAATTGAAAATTTAGAGGGTTTTGAATAGCAAAGAAAGAAATATAGGACAAACACAAAAATTTATTTTTATTTTATTGAAGTTTGGCTGACCATACAACGCTGTTTCGAGTATTGCCAAGTACTCTTCATCAGTGGTCTTTGGAATAATCGAATTTATATTTAATTAGTTTATAGTCCGTATATAATTTGTTTGGACTGCAAGTGCCAGGCTTAGAACTCGTGCCTCTCAAATTAGAAGCGATGACTAATCGTGTTTATCCACAAGAAGCCAAGGCAGCACAAACTTTCAATGCTCAAGTTCCAGGTTTTATTGTCACTTATTTTTATTTAATTAGTGATAATTAATTTAATTTTAATAAAGCTTCTTTGTTACCATACAAAGAAAGTCTAGCTTTACAGCAATAGAAATACTTTATTCATATAATTGAAAATTATTTAAATTTGTTTATAAATTTTGTTGTTAATGGAAATTAATACTTCCTGCATTCTTAATGCTACTTTAAATTCATTATTCATTTTAATTTTTAATTTTATATTAATTATTTATTTTTATGTAAAATACGACTTGCTTGCATTATGTACACATATGCAAGATTTGCTATTTTTCAAAACATAACACTTGACAGATTCTAACAGTGATACCAATGTCTCGCTTAGCGCATTTAGGCTAACAAATTGCTGTTTTTTGCCACACTTGCGAGCTGCCGGAAGCACCTACGATAGCATGCAAAACTCATATAATATGGTAAAAGAGATCATGATGAGCTTTATTGTTCTGTATTTTATGTTATTACTTATGGTTGAAAAGGTAAAATTCATTGTTCTATATTATATTTTATTAATAAGTTTCGTATATAAAATTTCAAATTTTTTATTTATTCATTCAAGTTTGATAGTGTATGCATCTTATTAGGCCATGATTCAACTTTCATATCAATTTAAATAAAAGAATAATAAAAATTGCTCGAGTGTATTATATTGGTAAATTAGTTTGTAAAAACGCAATAAATTATGGCTTTAATTGATGTTGACTCCTGGTAAAAATTTTTTGATTAATTTAATTATTAAATTGATTATTTAATTATGAATTAATATTATTTTTAAATTAATGCAAGGCAAACTGAATATGATGCATGCATAAGGCTAAATGATAAAATCGCAACAGAGTTAAATCAAAGAACATCAACTGATTTACAAGCTTCGGAATATCAAAATCTTTCTGCCAGTATACAAGTGGGTCTCAAGCAGTTTGCAAATGAATTGCAGCAATTAAAATATAAGCTGGACGTTGCAGCTAAAAATCGGTCAATGTAATGTTATCAATTATATATAGCACAGATATTTAAATTTAAACTCAATGCAGTACTTTTGAAAACATTGAAAGTCGTCAAACACAAGTGGACACATTACAGTCTCAGCTGCAGCAATTACAGGCCAAAGTAGCTAAGACTTCAATTCAACATAACTCTCGACATGGTAGTTCTCAACCAGCTGTTATAGCTTCAAACGGTATTGAAGACTTACGGCAAAAACAAATTCAAATACTTGAGGATCAAAACCGAGGGCTCGAATCACTATCGCAAACTATTTCACGCCAAAGAGAACTTGCGACTCAATTGGGGTTGGAGGTCGAGGATCAGAATGGTTAGTATGCTATTATTTAGATAAAATTAACTATATGCTTACCAACTGTAATATCTGCATTGTAGATATACTGGATAATTTGGCAAACACAATGGATAATGTCGACACCCGGGTTCACATAGAAACAAGCAATATTGGAGAGTTAAATCGACGTGAAAATACTTGTGGTAAAATCATAAAAATTTGAAAGTCAAATAATATTTGTACTCATTGAAGCGTCGAGCATTCTAACACTCGAATATATTTGCGTTCGAGCATTTGGGTCGAGCCGTTCAAAAAAAAATGTCCGTACATCGTATGATGTTTGAGCATTTGAGAATTTTTGAATTTTGGGTATACTGATGTTCCAGCCTAACAAGCTGTATTCGAGCATTTGCTGTTTTATGTTTTTGTATACGTCAGAAATAATATATAATATAATACAGAAAACCATTTGTGCATATGCTGCTCGAATTCGTGTATACCGAGAACTGCTCGAACATTGTAATTCTCAAACACAATTATTTGAAGCACTGGTATTTGTATGAAATCAAAAATAAAGTAAAATGCAGCTCAAATGTTTTCATTCTGTAACAATTCGAATATACTCGTTGCTCGAATATAGCAATGCTCGAACACTTAAAACATTAATTAAATAATAAATAAAACAAATACGTTTATTCCGATATTCTCTTATAGGCTATTGGATTGCAATTGTGATTTTAACGGTTACGAATATACTGGTAGCAACTTTAGCGTAATATTTGGATTTAAAACAAAAATGCTTATTTTTTTAAATTATAAATTGAATTCCTTAGTTGAAATAAAATTCGTTCTAAAACCATTTGGGACTCTAATTTTAACTATCTCAGATTTTTAAAAATTATTGCAGAAATATTAAATAATTGTTAAATAAGTCAAGAACTTGCTATTATATAGTATATATATATATATATATAGTATATAGTTTTATTATACAGAAAATAAAAAGGTAAAATAAAATTCGGTTAAAAAAATTTTGTTTTAGTTTTAAAATTTTATTAATTTAATTATTTTCAAGTAATTTGGTTCTATTGCCACTCTGTATTGTTCAGCTTCTTTTGCATTAATTTTTCTGCATTTCCAGTGTTCTGCACATTAATTATGGTAATATATCACTAAATTTTTTATGTTACGTTTTATTTACTTATGACAATTCTGATATATAAGGTACACTTCCCAAATTTCCAACAGCTCCCATAGATAGTTTCGACCCAGCCACTTTCTTAGCAGCGTCTTGTACATCTTTTAACTGAAGACTTTCAATTGCAGCAATTAAGTTGTCAATAGTCAAAATTTGTTTTGTTAAAATGGCCTGAAGACCAATTTCATTTATAAGCGAACTATCAGTTGAGTATGACTCTAAAACGGCAGTTTTAAGCAGAGCTTTTCCACGATTAAAATCTTCGTCAGATACTGAGCCCGATTTAAGAGCACCGGTGAGACCAGCGACAGCCTACATTATTAAAAAATTATATATAATAAAAAAAAATTATGTTTTAAATTACCTTGCATATAACATCTGAATCGGCTGAAACAATGAAACCGAACAAACCAGCATCCGAATAGCTAGCATTCAAAGAGGCATATGATACGTTTTCATTACCAACAGCTGCAGATAAAGCTTTTCCAAAGCTACCATTAATGTTGCCATATTTCGTTGAAGTACCTGAACCTACAGCATGCTGCAGTACAGCAAATGCCAAAGCTTCCTTTTGACTTAATAAAGCAGCTCCTTGTCCGCAAACAGCAACATGAGCCTTATCTCCTGGTGTATCCTTACGAATATCTCCACCATAGTAGCTAGCATTAACTGATTTAGATTGACTGCCAGTAGGCAGATCTAAACTTTGTGCAAATCCAGAAAGTGTATTGTGGTCAATACCGACACCAACGACAGCACATCGGTTACCAGTAAAGTTATTTGCGACAAAATGCTGTAAACACTCGCTCGACAATTTACCAATTTGGAATTTAGGAATATAGATCGAGTTGCCCAAACCGGTGCGGAAAGCAGCTTTATGCATCAGTTCAACAGCACGAACCTAAAATCAACCAAAATGTTCAACGGTGATTCTAAGTTTTTTTTTAGTGCATTTACCTGTGGTGGCACCGAAGCAACCTGGTACTTCACACGCCCAATACTATCTGACAACTCCCAGGGCTTGAAAGTTGGTTCAATTACATCTTGCAAGTAACGTAGACCAACTTCAATTTGATCAGAAGTAGTTTCAACTGTATAAGAAACGATTTCGCGATCAGAGGTTGCTGTTAAACTACCACCTACTTGTTGGATATTTCGTGTAATGGCAAATCCTGTAGAGTTTTTGGTTCCCAGTCCCAAAGCGATGCGTAGCATATGTGATGCTCCTTGACTATCGTATGATTCGTTGCGTGCACCAGCGCTAAATATTTTAAATTACTTTACATATGAGAACATATATGGTATGACATATAAACGTAACATACCGAAACACAATAGACACACGGGTAACAGGCAGAAAACTATTCGCAGCTGCCACTACCACCTTGTTTCCCAAGACGCACGATTCAAAATCAGCAGTTTGGCCAACAGCTCGTGGACATGACACGGCCGATAAACCACGCTTCTGTATTCAAATAAACAAAATTTTCAATTAAACAAATGATCCCATAACCAATTTGCGTTTTACGTAACCACATTTTATCAATATTTTCAGTTGGTAAAATAATGGAAATTATTTGTATTTTTTTATAAAAAACTTACAGCAATATTTTGCAAAAAAGGTGCTCTGCTCGCCTTGCATGCCATTTTTAATCTTTATCGATTAAACTAATTTGTAAAATATTTGTGTTAGGATTTTTCGTAGGGAAGCGAACGAACTCTTCGTAATGCTCTGCACTTCAAAATGTCAAAAAATTGCTAGTGATGCCAGATTTCCTACAACAGCATCTGTTATTAAATGTTTTGATTATCTTCGGGTTTTTAACACACCATCGCATTTAAGTCATTTTCGCTTTTAGCTGAACAGAATATCTAAGGGCATTCCAAAGAGGTCGTTTTAGTGGGTTTCAAGCCTCACACAGTGGCTTTCGATAGTTTCCATGAACCGAAAAAAAAATTTTGTAGCATTAGTCAGGTTTGTTATACAAAATTCTTGCAAAGATTTTCTTCAAATGGCCATTCACAATAGAACAGTTTTAATCGCACTACATTGCTGCCAATGTAGTGCGATAGACTTATTCGTTAAGCACTTTCAGGAAAGTGGATTTATTTTTGCGAATTTTGTTTTTGCTTTGCATATTAATTTTTAGGCACCACTTGTTTTATTGTAGCGATCATATTTAAAGAATACACCTACTGAGAAAATAGGCGAATCATTAAACCTTTGTAGTAGATTCGGACTTTGTACTAAATTCTTTTTTAGATTTATCTCGATAAGCACGTAAAGTTTAGTTACATTTACCATACAAGATCCACATATAATTTATGTGGATTGTCTACTTATACTTGTTGTCAATATATTTATTGTTTAAGTCTATTGTATTAGTAAACGTTGCTACAAAAATTTAAATTTTAAATATTTTAGGTATAAGTTTCGACAAGCATGAAGAGAAAAGAGGCGATTCAAATTTAATTAATTAAAAATAAAAATTTTAATCTATTATTCAACTATACACTATATTAAACATTAAATTGCTTTCCTTTTACTTTTTCTTCACCGTAGGCTAATTTTGAATATTATAATATACAATTACCTGTGAATATTTGTTCCTGGCCATCATATGATTGTCTGTATAACATGACTGTTAACTTCTTAATCTTTGTGATTTGCTAAAAACTTGCCGTATTACTCCTGCAGTAATTTCGTAGCTATTCTTATTTTTTTTTATATATATATTAATTATGAAATGATATTTTTTTTTTGCTAGTGTAATAAACACTCATTAAAAAAAAATTGAATAATCTTGATAAATAAATAATAATCTTAAAAAAATGACAATTTTTAAATTTATTAATAATTAAAATCTTCTACATAACGACAAATTTTTCACAATTTACAATAAAATTTTATATACTCGTATTTGACACCACACATTAACGCTTTAATTAAACCACATATTTAAATATAACCAAAAGAAAATTATTTCGCTTTTTATGATTAATAACTTTAAAGGTACTCAAAGTAATAATAAACAATCAACAATAAAACAATAAAAATTCTCGGATATTATATAAATTTTATAAACGAATCTGTATATATTCAATAGTTATACATTAAAAATTTTATAAATGGAATATTTATTTTGATAGTGTGTGTGAACGTTAAAGAGAACAGCAGTGGCCATCCGCAGTACATTTTGATTTTATTTTCCATTTGCATTAGATTTTTTCGCTGGAGAATTAACATTTTTCAGGAAAATTTGTTGTTCGTGGTATACTTTTCTGTTTATTGTGCAATATATTAAATGTGATTTATACATTTTTATTAAAAAAATTTGCAACAGAAGTAAAGTAATTCATACATTAAAAATGGCATCATTCTTTGGAAGCCCGTTTTCCACACCAATCGGACAAAGAATTGGTAATTGCAAAATATGATTATAATCTGAGACTTAATAAAATATTAAATTAAAAAGAAAAATAATAACAATTACGTACATTAAAATTATAATGTGCAACAACGTAGTTTAAAGGGGCTGAGTGTGGACATGACGTTGAACTCGAATGTATATTTCAAAATATACATTTTTTATTAATTTTTCTTATTGTGGAAAAATAAGAAAATGAGAAAAATTAAGTAAAAGCAACAAATGATAAGTTCATTTAAATGTAGAGGAACATCTGCGCTTTTCCCACTACCTTGAAGTGGACATGTTCTCATTCCTAGGATGAATTAACACAAATATGAAATCCAACATATTTTGACTGATAACAGCACCGCAACTGCTATGTTAATTATTTGTTCAAACAAAAATTTTAATTGAGTCATGCAGAATCTAAAATTATATAAACTGTGTGAAAAACAGTGCCGTTGTAGTTCGCAAATCTAGTTTACACCCTCATACCCCACCTTCAGCAAAAACATTTCACAATACTTTTCTTATGAATATTAAACAGAAGATTAGATTACATTACTAATTCGATTTTTTATAGCTTCTGCTGATTAGTCAACTAAATTAAAGCATTTCCATAAACATTATGTTTAGTCTCTGGAAAAAAATGTTAAATTCAATATTATTCAATATTATATATTCAATATTGGTTTTAAAATACAAAAAGAATATATACATATATATGTTACATGTAATATGTGGGTTCATATAATATTACAAACAAATAGATATATATTTATACTTTTTGAATGACCACATACTCTATATGGGTTTCGCTGCTACCCGATTGCATATATTAGTCCATTAAAGAAAAACCCACATTCGGAACATTTGAATAATCATGGCATATTTCTGTTGTTGTTGTTGTTGTTGAATAGAAAAATCTTAGATTTAAGTTAAAATTCCGCGCAGAAATATTAGCCTTATAGCGGTTTTATTAATCGGCCAATGTCGGTAAAAAAACCATAATAGGAGACTTTCTGTAATAAATAACTATTGCTATAGATGTGAGGAAGAAGAAGAAGAAGTGCTTCACAACTTATAAGATTCCCTTGTGTATCTATGACTTCATTTAAGGTTTGAAATCGATTCAAAGCCTCAGACATTTAAATTATTTAAATGGATCCCAACGTAATCGAGTGATCTGACCTTACATGGTTAATATATATGTTTATAAAAAATAGTTTATATGTTGACAGATGACTACGATTGTGATGCTATACAAAATCTACAATCTACAATCTAATGATATTCATACCGACTTATTTCACCAATGAACCCTGAGGTTGATCTGATTTAATACTTACCAGTCTTAAAACACTTAATTGCGAAAGTTTAGACATAGTTAAGTGTCATGGTCTTAGAGTTAATTTGGTCATAAACATTTTGCAGGCTTCGTATTTTTGCTATAAACTAAAAGTCCAATGATTTTCTATAGAAATTTCAAAATAATTTATATTTGAAAGAGTTTTTTTTTTATTGAAGCGATCAAAACAAGTGTAGTATTGATTAGGTACAGAAGTGCAAAATATGGTATACCGTTGATCTAAATACAGTAATTTGATTTCTATGTCTATTTAATTGTTTTATATTTAGTATTATTTTTATTTAAATTTTTTATTTTGCTTTTCAGAACAGGCGACCGATGCTTCTTTAGCTTCAGAAAATTGGGCACTTAATATGGAAATATGTGACATGATTAATGAATCATCCGATACTGCTCGTGATGCTATGAAAGCGATAAGAAAGAGGCTCTTACAAAATGCTGGCAAAAACAATCAAGTTATCATGTACACCTTGACCGTGTTGGAAACGTGTGTAAAAAATTGTGGCAAAGCTTTTCATGTGCTTGTAGCTCAAAAGGATTTTATACAGGAGTTAGTGAAGTTAATTGGTCCTAAGAACGATCCTCCAGCTGTTGTCCAAGAAAAGGTGTTAAGCTTAATACAGATTTGGGCTGATGCCTTTAAGAATCAACCTGATTTAAATGGTGTGACGCAGATGTATATGGAATTAAAGAATAAGGGTATTGAGTTCCCTCAAACTGATATGGAAACAATGGCACCCATATACACACCGCAAAGGGTAAATAATATATACTAAATTTTATTGTCTACACTGGCTAATAAAATCAATCCTGAATTATTGCAGAGCGTGCCGGAAGTACCACAGCAAATTGTGGTCCCTCAGCAAACTAATCCTCCTACAGCCGTTCATGTGGGTCTTATTTCACTGGCATATGACAAGCCATCATTTTAATTGTTGTTTTTTATAATTTTAGAATAATGGTCCGTCTGCCCTAACACCTGAACAAACAACGAAATTGCAATCTGAACTAGAAGTTGTCGCACACTCAATGTCCATACTTGGTGAGATGTTAAATGAACTAAAGCCAGGGCAAGAAGAGGCTGAGGATTACGCTTTGCTTAATGAGTTAACTGCAACTTGCAAGTAAATATAAAAATAAGTTTTTAATAAATTTGAGCTTATGTTGGCTTTTCTTAATGTAGAGAAATGCAAGCTCGAATAGTTGATCTTATTGGTCGTATAAATGACGATGAGCTTACCGCAGAACTTCTACGATTCAACGATGAATTAAATAACTTATTTTTAAGACATCAACGTTACGAAAAAAATCGTTCTAGTAGTACTACAACTTCACCATCAGCTATACTCGGAGCAGCTATTGGCGCAACTGGCGCTGCGCCTGCAGCATCAACAACTGCTAGTGTTAATGCGCCTCCTCAAATTCAAAAGGAACGTCTTTTGATTGACTTAATGGAAAAGTCTGACAAAATGCAAAACTCCTTTAATCAATTCAGTAAGTGTTATTTATAAAGTTTGTCAAACCCATATATATGTTAGTACCCATATATTGGCTTATGTATTATGTATGTAGATATTTCAAATACTTCTAAACCACAGAATAAGGATGCTGATGAATTCGATATATTGGCTCAATCCCGTACTACGGATAGCAATAAGTAACGAACCATAAGTATATGCAATTACATTGGAATTTAATAAAATTCACTTTTTAGCAAAACTGATTTACTAAAAGACATTCCCTCAGTTGACGCAGCTGCTGGCAGCATAGGTTCGCCATTTAAAAAAGCGAACGAGCAACAGGTGGTAAATAAAGTGAGTAGTTAATTATTATTCTTACTTAAGTAAATATTTTATAAATTTTTGTTTGTTTCTGTTAATATTTTCGTTATTTTCAAAAATGTTTTTGGTTGTTTAAATAATATAAGAAGCCGGGCAAAGACAGAGAGATAGATGAAATGGAAGCATGGCTGGGTAATTCAGTAAGTAACACTGTTACTTTTACTTTTTATTTGATTATAAATTTATTTTCTCATTTTTCATATCGATTGGCAAATGTAAAAAGAAAAACATAATGTTAATATTTAAATAATTTAATCTCGTAAAGAAAATCACGTAATGATAGAGAAGGTATATCATAACATAATATGGATAATATGGATATTTTTAAAAATGTATATGTGTTAAAGTGAGGCGATGATTATACTTTAGAAAATGCATGTTTGGAATGCACTTTAAATGTAATATATTCTGCAAACTATCTAATTAATTAAAATCTTTAAGAAACAAGCTTTAAAATAGAGTAGGTAATCGAATATTATAATGTAGTATGTAGTAGAAATGGTTCCAAGGTAGTAGATAAGATAGTAGAAATGGTTCCAAGAGTGGCTGGATATATATAGCAACAAAACATAATAGCGAAGTGTATAAAATAAATTACACTTTTTAGGATTTTAGTTATAATAACAAAATAATTCTTTAGAAAAGTTATTTTCAAACTGAGTAATTAGAGAAATATGTAGAAATTAACCATTTTGATAGTTCATATAAAGATTTTATATTCAATTATTTTTTTTCTTCTATATAATATTAAATCAAACTAATATCTATATTTAATCTAGAGCAGATTAAAATTAGTAGTAGATATTTTTATTTTATTTCTTAGTCCACTTAAATTGATTTAAATGTTAAACTAACAAATTCCTTTTTCGATCATTTCATAATTTTTAATTTAGTTAAAAATAATAAAATTTTTTTCTTACTTCTGTATGAACTAAATTGTGACTATATGCGCTATGCATTTACAGAAAGAAATCGAGGGAATGGAAGAGACGCTCACAAGTACAGAGTTTGACAAATTTCTTGAGGAGAGAGCAGCTGCTGCTGAAAATCTTCCAACCATAACAGCTACAAATAGTGACAGTAACAAGAAGTCCACAAAAAAACCTAACGAAGAGGATTTACTCGCACTTTGAGCTTCAGAGATATTCTTTAACATTGTTTTTGCGTATAAGTTTAACTAATATTTATCGGACGTGATCAGCACGCAGAAATATTTAACAACATTTTTACACATTTAATATTTTTTAAAAATGTTAACATAATGTATATTCAAAAATATATATGAGTAGCATTAACCCCTAGCATAACGTATAATTTAAATTAAAATAACTTGTATTAATTTTGCAATTCCTATATATTCCAAAAATGTATTATATTTATTATTTTACATATATTTATATGTAATATTATTAATTGTATTTTTTGTGAGTTTGTTTTTGCGCTATAATTGTTTTTTATTTCTTTTTTTTGTTTTGTTTTCAGCATAAGTTACATTGTTAAATATTTGTTTAAATATTTTTATTTATTATTTATGTGTAAGTTTGTTGCTTATTTAATGTATGGAATCAATGTATTTTTTATGGTATAATAAATTATTAAATGTAATAATTATGTAAAATTAAAAATTCATAGATAATTGAATTTTTCAAACAAATTTTATTGCCTCATGTGCTGAATATAATTGATTTTACTTAAATGTATTGATACTTAAACAATTCCAACTAAGTTTTAATATATACATATATATTTACTCATTAAAATTTTAAGATATGAAAATATTAAACTTTAATTACTAAGGCAAAAGCCAAAAATAGATACATATATAAAAAATATGCATTAAATTCACATTAAATGTGCACTATCAATAAATATGTGAAAGCTTCTTGTGTAAAGTTGGTGTATCCGATACAAAGTCGGCTGCTTAGTCGGCTTCCGGGTCAGTGTCTACATCGTAGACATTGTTTGAAATATCATCATCGTCTACGTTTATTGATTGATTGCCACTGACATTATTTGACTGAAGTTTGTTAAGTTTTTCTTGTAATTCTGCAATTTTTGCTTTTTTGCTATTCAAGATTATAGCAAATTTTTTGTACAATGATACCTTTTCGTTACTTCTTTCTTCTAACAATGTTTGTAATTTTGCATCAAATTCCTCTAACTTTTCATCAGATTTCTGTAGTTCTTTATTTACTGGGCTTGAAGCAGATTCTCTTTTTACTCGTTGTGAATTTATGAATCCAATTGCATTATCTAATAATTCAAAATTGCTGTCAATTGGTGTCAAGTAGTTCATCAGATACACAATTTCGAAGTCAGTCTTTTTAATAAGTTTGAAGATCGGTTCTTCTTTTTCTATCTCGTATTCAAAGCTAGCAGATGCATTGCTGTCTGTGAATGCATATTTGCATTCAGATATAAATTTGTCCAATGGTATCTCTAATTCTAAGGCGGACTCAAACATTTCGTCTTGCCCGATTTCGACCTTGTAGCTTTTATTTGTTTGTGTATCACATAAAAGCAGTTCAATTGAACTTTCGAACCAGCGGCACTGTAAATAAATGTTAAATTTTTCATCTTCAGAAGATGTTGATTTTTTGTCGACTTTAATAAAAAAAATGTTCTCGGCCATTCTGAAATGAAAAGTGTAATAAAATTTTTACGACTAAATACAATATATTCAAAAGAAATGAGTGTAAAATCAACTCTGTTGCATCAATGGTTGGATGCAGTAAAATTAAGCTTAAAAATCTAACATACAAGATTATTGACTGTAGATATTGGAGAAACAGTGTGAAGAAATCTCTAACCCACACTGATTTTTATAACTAAGAATGATAATCGCCTAGTGATAGTTGAAATATAAACGCAATACCATAATTGCAATGCAGGTTGATTGAAGTAATTAATTTGTTTATCACTATAATTTGTTTATATATTTAATATAACATTTTATAATAAATTTTTCATTTGATGACATTATGAAATTCATTAAGTGTAAGGCGATACGACATACGTTAAAATTACCCAAAATTAACAAATCGTTTTTTATTTGGATTAAAAAAGTATCAAATACTTACTTGAAAATTCTTTTAATATAATAAATAATAAAGGATTTTATATTTTAAATAAAAGCGATAACAAAATTTTGAATACACAACCGGAGAATTGCTGCTGAACAGCTGACGAATTGTAGTAGAATCTACTACTATGCATGAATAGTACTTTTCTCTTTCCTTTTGTTTATTTTTCGTAGCAGCTGCTTGTTTTGTGTGTATGTGGTTGTATGTGTGTGCTATGCGGGCAGTTAAATTGTTTAAATAATTGTTTGAGGTGTAAACTGCCACTTGTAAGTCTTTTCCTATATAAAATTATTAGTGAATAATGTTTGTATATATATGAGGGATGAGTGAGTCTGATGATACTGATATTTTATTGCGAATACCTCCGAATTACTTTATGAAAAGTGCTGAAAAAGAATTGTTAGAACAAGAAAAACTCCTAAGTAAGTTACGCAAAGTGGACAGACGTCGTTCCCTCGGTGCCGAATTTGAAGTGGAGTTTCAAAAGATAAGTATTCTCACAGATAACAAATCAATGGATGCAGTAATTAGTGAAAATCAGCCTCCTCCACCAACTGCGGCATATAAATTTCTTTCACCTAAGAAGAAGACAGAGCTAAATGATATAAATTCACGCTTACATGCGCTGGCCGATGAAGATGTGAACCGTGTACCACAATTTGGTTCGGATATATCGTCAATTTCAACATCAAGCACAATACGAACTAACTTTGGAAAAAAGTGTATGAAAATAAAAGATAGTGAATCAGTTTTTGTACATTCCACACCAAAAAGTCCTATAGCTAATAATATCTGCGATAGAATGCAAGAAAATGCGATGCCTCAAGATGATGTAATATCCGAAATTAATAATTTTTTTGAGGATCGTCAATATTGCAATAACTATGATCATTATAGCGAAGACGTTCATTTGGAGTCAGAAATGGTTGTCCGTGATTCATTTGGCAATTATAATGATGATATGCAACTTCTATCATCACCAAAATTCCTAGGTTTGGAGCAACTAACAAGACATGAAAGCACAAATAGACAAGTTATCGGTAACAATCTCATCAGTTTAAGCGATATATGGGGAAAAAGCGGACAGGGTACAGCAATTGCTTGTACTCCAAACTTAACTCTTAAAGAAGAACAACTTCGGCGGCAGCACTTAGAAAAAATAATACGTGGTCTACAATCACGATTACTTGAATATCAACAACGTTTATCAGTAGCGATTGAAGTGGACCGGTCTAAAGACGCAGCGTTAACTAATTCACGAAGCGAGTGCAGAAGGCAAGTAGTTTCCTATTTACAAAATATGAAAGAAAAAACTATATATTATTTCAATTTACAGATTGGAATTAGAACTAAAGCAGATGCATGAGCTAGAGAAAAAATGGGATAATGACCATAGCGAATATAATGAAAAACTCAATTTATTACAAAAAGAACTATCACAAGCGGTTGGTTTGGTAACTAAATTTGAGGAAAAAAATGAAAAACTGGAAAAGGAAGTTTCAGACAAGTCTAGGTAAAAATTGATCCTTTCTTTTTTAGAATATATTTTTAAAAAGAAGTTTTTTCCAATGCTCAGAAAATATAGTGAGTGCAGTAATACGTACAAACAACAACTGGAAGAGTTAGAAATTAAGTTACAAGTTTGTCAAAAATCTGAAGAAATTGCCACAAATGAATTGAACAAGTTTAAGGATAAATATACAAAAGTAGAATATCAAAACGAAAAGGTAAAAAAATTTTAGGGAATATTTATAATACTAACACTATTCTATTTAAGTTGAAAATGCGGTGCGACGAATTCGAGAAGGATCTGAAAATGACACGAGAACAGAAAGAAATTTTACAAGAGTATCATAATAAGCAAAAAAATCGTGCAGATTCAATTGACTCACAAAAAAAGACATTACAGGAAACAATAGATCGTTTAACAGAAAATGAGGTTCGCTCTTATAAAAGACTATGAAATGATTTCATTTTATTGTAATTCCAGACTGCTTTGAAGAGAAAACTTGAACTGCAGCAAAAGACTCTTAAGACTCATTATCAGCAGCAACTGGAAAACGTCGTTGGACAAAAGCTAAAGGAGTTTCAAGCACAGCTTGACAAAGCTGAAGATACACTTAAGGCAGAGGCACGTGATCGAGAGCGTTTAATTGCTGAACGGGCTGTGAAACAATTGGAGCTGATAAATGAAAAAAATGAATTGGAATTAAATTTGTTGCAGGAGAAGAATAGTGAGGAAGTATCACTTTATCGTATTCAGTTAGCCAATGCATCAAAAAAAATTGAGGATTTAGAAACAAAATTAGATAATTATAGATCAAAACGGTAATTATACTTATTCTATCTAATTTAATTCTTATATTAATACGCTAATACTTATACTACATTTGTTTTTTTGGGTGTTTTTATTTTATTACATTTTAGAGCGGATATAGCCGAAAAATTACATGGTGTAATGGAAACTCAGTGGCAGAAAGCATTGGAGATATTAACTTCCCCTAGCTACCACTCGAAAGTAACTCAAACTGAAACTGGTTCAGAATCTCCAGAAGACAATGATAAACATAACACAGCAATAATAGAGATAAATAATACACCAAAGACTAGTAAATCAAAGAAAAATAATTCAAAAGAAAATAATTTGAACTTGGTGAGCCATAAGGAGCAAATTGCTCCTGTGGACAGGTTGCAAGCATACATTGAATTGGTAAGTTCAATCAAGTTAACAGTATTCAATATTATTAACTATTATGATTTAGTTGTTAAGTAAATCGCCGAGTGATTTCGAAAAATTGGATGAAATACTGGCACTTTCTAAGCACAAATCGTCTGCAAGTAAGTTAAATAAGTCTTCCAAACGATTTGGGGCAATTAATAAACCACCATGGAAGGCTTGACGAAATCTAATAGAAGCTGTCTTTGCACATTGCATGTCAAAAATAATATTTTACATTTTATATTAATTAGTGTTAATTGTTTATGTTGTTGGAGCGATTTTTTGTTAATAAATCGGAAAACAATTATTATAATTTTTATTTGTATATATTTATTGAAAAATAAATATTAAAACAATAATATGGTTGTCTTCAAAATACTAAATTATTTTTTACATTTTTTTAAGTAATTTGTATTTGTTAATTTACAGGAAACTGGGACACTTAAGGAAATATATAAAATATGTTAATAATCACGCAAACACGCATGCCATTCGATGCAATTCTTTTCTTACCAAGTATAATTATCTAATATTTTTAATCATTATAGTACTAAGAATATTCAAAAATTTTTGTTCGTTCGCTCGTTATATATATAAATGCTATTTATAAGCTATTTGCGGAAATTTTGGTGCACCGCCATATAGTCCTTCGCATTCCCATACTTGAATATGTGATTCTTTAGTTAGTACAACAAGATGTTGATGCGTTGAATATGTTATGCTATAAAATGAAAATAGTTTTTGTCGTCTATAAGTGATACTTGCAGTATTTAGAGAACTTACCTTTTTATATTTGAAAGTCCCGTTACAATTTCACTAATAAAGCTTAAATCCCAACTTGACCATAGACGTATAATACCTCCTTCCACTGCTGTAGCTATTACATTTATACCAACTCCTTCCTTGATATACGAATAACAAATTGCAAGAACACGATCTTCATGTACCATATGCTGTACGTAACGGGCGTTTATTGTATGCAATCGAACTATAGATTTTCCATTTGGATTGATTGATACATTCACGAAATCATCCAAATTTTCCTCTGTTACTTCAAAGCACTCATCGGCAATTGTATCCATTGAATTATTCAGCTCTATCTCATTGTTAGCATGTCTATGCTCTTGTAAATTATTTTGCCACGGTATAGTATGTACGGTAACAATATCACCAAGTGTAGGACTAATAGTTACAAGGGTTATAGGTGAATGATGAATTTCAGCTGGACGTTCTATTGTGCGTATATAGCTGAAGCTATAATATGAAGGGATTTTTGATTTTTTTTTTATTATTTTATTATTATTTTTTATTATTATTTTATTAATAACTTACTCATTAAGGTCCCAAATTACTGCAATACCGTCTCGCCCAGCTGTGACTGCAATTTTATAGTCAACAGATAATTGTATGCAAAATACTTCATCAGTGTGCCGTACGAGTACTGTTGGTCCGCACCAACTTAAATCAGCACCATCACGATGTAAACTTTCGGAAGTATTCGTACCAGCTGCGTTAGTAAACATGGAATTCCCGTTCTCTAGATCGTCATCGGCTTTAACAGTTATGTTACTTTTAGTAGTTATCTTACGAAATGCTGAATTATATGATAATCGTAGTCCTTGCACATAACTTTGTCGACTTTTGCCACTACGGCTTTGTTGCTCTATGTTTGAGCATTTATAAACACTAATGCGACCTGATTTATGACCAAACCACAGCTGATTTGAATTCGGATCAGTACCGCAAGCAGTAATATTATCGAAAGCGTTATTATATAATAAATTTTTTGGTTTGGCCTGCATTTTATTTAAAGGCTGTATTCTTACTATTCGATCCTCACAGCCCCACGATATAACATTAAACGTATCAAGTTCCGCTCCTTGCATTACACAAGATTTCGTAGGAAATCCATAGACTACATTAGTGTTATTAAAAGGCACTAAATATTCGGCTCCTGATAATTTATGTATATTTCCAAGCGTAGGCTTAGGTAACTGAGGTGAACCCAAATATACGCCCCAACGTAAACCCCTGACGCTGGGTAATAGTTGTTTCTCTCCCAATGAATAATTAAGAGTTTTTGAAATGCTATGTGGTGATTTAAATAATTGGCGTGGCATTTGCCCATAAGTTTTAACCATTGTTTCAACAGCTTTTCTTTCAATATGGTCTGAGGTTTCAGCCTCCAGAAATATAGAATATGTCTGTAAATGTAAATGTATTGTATGGTAAATATATTAAAATTTTATATTTAATTATTACAGCAGGATGAAAAACATTTATTGATTCAACTGCACTTTCTCCCGTTTGTTTGTAACCGAAAATCAAATCAATCCAGTTATGTAGATTGTTGCGTACTAGTTCAGATTCTAATGCTTGCCTATGTATAAGCGTAAAGAGTCGGGGATTCTTTAAACACCATGGCGGGAGCAGGACGTCTTCCACTCGTTCACCACTTTGACGGCAACCGAAGTTAAAACGTTCAAAATTTTCAAACATTTCTGGCAGACAAAAAAATTCAGGTATTAGTTCCTTCACATCTGTGGGACTGTCACGACTAGCTAAGCACCAAGTTGTACTCAAAGAATGGAAAGTGCGATCAGGTAGATCAAAATTATTGTCTAAAAATGGTATAAGATCTCTTAATGGTATGATCTAATAAATTATAATATTCTTCAAAAATGAAAGAAAATTAAAGGTATAAAATATTTAAACTACTGCTTTAAATTACCTTGGTAACGCAAAAAGTAGCTTGTAAAGGGTGGCACACGTACCAGAAAGTGTAGAACTGTGCCTGAATTAGAATAATGCGAACTGTAATGATATGGTTTGAGAATCATAGAACCCATATTTGTCATGCTGTTATTTAAGTACTGAATATAGACAAAAATATGTTATAGTCATTACATTCTTCTAATAAAAGCGTAATTGTTTGCTTACATTATAATTACTAATATAATGTTGCTCATTTTCTTCGTTTTGTACTGCAATAGGTTTTTCCAGCTTTCGAAAATTGTTCAAATTTGTTAAGTCGAGCAGTTCTGCTGTATAATTTGATAAAACCCATGGAAAAACCGGGTACTGCATTAAGTCGTTATACGTGCGTCCCGCAACTTGATTCAGTGTCATCAAATATTCCCAATTTGTAAGTAAACCTTCACGCCACTGCTGTGTTATTAGGTGTAATTTGTTTTGATCAGGAGCAGTAACGATTTTATCACGAAAAACATCTCGCATAATTTTCCAATCTTCTTTATTTTGTAACGAAAAAAATAGAGATTGATTTGTATCTAAGAATATTTCGAATGCCTTCTCTTGATGTTGATAACGCTTTAACCATATTTCCGTAATATTTAGTATGTCGCAGGCAACGTAGAAATATTTACAATGATATGTAGCTTGAAAATACAGCTTGTGATCAGTAACTATAATTTCTCCGTCAATTTCGCCATCAACAGGAAGATACTTTGCTGGAAAATTATAAAGTATTTGTGAATTGAATGAAATATTTAGTTGTTGATCATAACTGGCTATTAGGTAGTCTAGAGGACGTCTAAATTTATAACTATTTGAAAAGGCAGTATTGCCATCGGGGGTATCTGAATGGTAGTCTTCCATAATGAAGCGCTTATCTATATCTAGATGACAAGGTTTTAGTCGATTGTGTACTCTAGATGGCCCTTCAGTGGAATCCAATTCCCATGAGCTAAAAGACAAATATGCTATGTTTACTTAAACAATTTCTAACTGCTGTAATAAATTACGAGTATATAATTTGTTTTAAACAATATACTTAATTTATATGAAATGTCTAATTGTATGTTTTAATATTTTCTTAAAAGTTTTTACGTACTTTTCGGAACGTTCTTTGGAATACCAAGGTGCACCCTCATGCGTCATGCGTCTTATAATTTCCAACCATTTAGTATAAGTAAATGTATCGTCGTAGTCTTTCATATGATTCATTAGCAATTTTCTTTCTGCGTTCTGTAGAAAATCAATAATTTGAACTTCAAGAAATCTAATCTAAATTATACTTGCTTAATATACCTGCAGTTCAGCTACTCTTCTTGTAGCAATCATTGATGACTCAATGCAATTAATGGCAATTGATTCAAATTTAAAGATTGTTCTTTCCAGCAGCGTCTTTTGTTTTGCGGTAATCGTACAACGATTCAGTTCAATGCGATTTAGTTCATTTTCCAAATTCCATGTTGAGTCGTTTTCATTAATCCCTAAACGTTTACACAAAACAGACAAATTTTCGATTGGAGGTTCCAAATCTTCCAGTAAACTAAGCCACAATAGAGATTTAACCATTTTCCCATCACATATGATGGAAGGCAAAAAATCATCTCTGCAAGATATCCAAAGGGCATTTACTATATAATTTCGTAGATCACGAGGCCGTGACGGTTGTAGTCCCCAAGCTATAAAATTGTTACATCGTTGATTTGTTGATATGCCATAGGAAACTAAGAACTCAAAAAGTTTGATTTCATTATCAGTGGGCGTGTTGCAATCATCAAATACTGTGAAAAACTGAGAACAACGATCAATGAGTAAATCTAGTCGGATTTTGCTCTCGGCCAGGGTAAGTGTTGACTCGGTTAGTTTAGTAACTAAAATAAATTTTCAAAAACATCTATCAACATAATTCTGCTTATTAATAAGAAACTATTATGTTTACCAATAAAACTCCAAGTGTTATTCGATTTGTTAAAGAATATTCTAAGCCAATTAAGCTGTAGCTTTGCTTGGGCAGAACGAAACCTTCTTACTATAACGGCTGGTTGCTTTGTTTGATAAAAGGAAAGTAAATTTAAGAGATCCCATATTATCTACAATCAAAGCAATATTTAAGCAAAAGATACATGTGCGTCATATTGCAATAAATTTACGTTTATATGTCCAACTGATTTGAGTGAATTCACACCAATAACGGTGAGCAACTCTAAAATAGAATCCTCAACTTTTGAGTTTGTATTATTTTGTTTCGTATAAAGATTTTGAAGTGCTTTCATGCAGCTCTGCAGCAAGCCCAATTCAATTAGTAACCCGTGCTCTTCGGTATTCTGTTGAAAAATATTTTGCATTAATGTAACTATTTTTAAATGATATAAAATAAAATGCAACCGTCATGTAGATAATTCCAAGTACTTTAAAGGCTTTCTCCATAACTTCAGGCTGCGTAGCCACAAAATTTGTTATTATTGCTAGAAGAGCGTTCAAACCAAATTGCTGTTGGATATTTAGTTCTTTAGAAGTGGATATTGCCTCTAAGTCTCCATATATTCCACTGACCCATTCAACACAAGCACTAAACATATACGTGTCGGTGGGGTAAATTGATAATTGATTTGCTAAGTGATATGGATAGCAGTTTCTATTATAAAATTGTAATTCATGTTGAGGTAAACGTTGTATAAGCGCAGCCAGCAGTTTTATTATCGCTATCCTCACGCCGCAACTATTGTGGTTCGATAATACGAGCAAAAACTCAACTTTAACGTAATGCTTCAGTACCTTAAATATACAAAATTTATATATTAAATATTGTAAGATAAACATAATTTATTACTAATAACCGTACGTCTTCAACTGCAGTATCGGGTAATAAACACAAAAAATTTTTTAATAATGTAATAAGACCTTCTTGTAAAGTTATTATTCCTAATGAACTGTAAAAATCGATTTTGTTCAGTGCTTTGGAACGACGATGGATTGGCGACACATATATTGAATTCTTAGTACTGTTCGAATCGAATGTACACAGTGAAGCAGCTAACGACTGCAGACTACTGCTTACTATTACAGTTGTTTTGCTGTGGCGGGAACATTTTTCATCTTCTGAGCAAATAGATCCTGTCGAATGTAAACGATGCCGTTTATGAGAAATTTTTTGTTCGTTAAGACGATGAACAGAATTAGAAGAAGATGATTGCAATTTACTAAATTTATGATGCGAATTGATTTTGTTCGAACTACAAGTATTTGTAGATGAATTGTATGTGGTTTGTCGTTTATACTTTAATCGCCATCTTCTAACTTCGGCTGGACTAAGAGTATGTAGAGCACTTTTGTTCAATTTAGTGCAGTCAGCAACATTTTCCAAATTTTCTTCAAAATCATTAAGGACTGTTTTATATGTTGATTTTTTAATATGCAATTTTCTTATACGATTAATACGTCCTGCTCGATTTGAATCCGTTTCTGTTAATTTAGATATGATAGAATCGCTTTTGATTGACATTGAACGTGCTATTCCAGGTATTGGTGGTTCAGCACTTTTCCGTAAATGAGTTGAGCCACGCATAAAATTTGTTGTCAATAATTTTTCTTTTGGAGGTAGTTGTGATGTTAGTAAAAAATAAAATTTATTGCGATCATGCGTTATATAGCATTCACTTGGTTTGTGCAACAATAATAAAAGCTTCATTATTTCATCCATTAATGATGAAGATGGGGGCGAACCAGCGAACACCGAAAGTATATTTACAAATGATTTCGCTGCGTTTGCTGATATGAACATGGGATTTGGCGACTCAATTACGTACATTTTACATAAATTCAATAATTCCTTTACTAAACCAGCTTTACTTAATTGTTCGATGTTAAAGTCTCTATGAGGATGTTTTTCTCTAGTAAGTGCTAAAATGCTTTCAAACACCAAATCTAATACGTCAGAATTTTCTGCTCCGGAACGATACCAGTCTGAGTAACGATGAAGTATTGAAACAATGAATTGTGGGTATATTAAACTGGCTACAGTATTTTCATGAACATACATAATATCACATTTTTTCGTTAATAATAATTGAGAGCATGAATTATTTATTATGCTAGCCAATAAATACACATCTTTTGTACAGCGTTCAGTTTTGATGACATAGCCAATCAAGCTTAAATAATCATTCTGTAAAAATTCTGCGTAAATTTGATTCTCCGATATCACCACATTTAGTAACAGATCCAGTGCCACAGCTTGAGCATATGAACTATTACTTATCTCAACAACCTAAAGAAAAGTTTTCTATATAAACAGTTTAAAAATTTATATAATTTTTTCGAATAACTTACCCTTGCAAATAAGTACAAAAGTGTCGACAAACCCCCTGAAAGAATTGTAGCTGCTTGTAAAGATTGCAATTGATTTTGTAGCAATTCTCCATAAAGTATTATGCCATAAGGACGGCCTAAATTTCAAAGCATATCAGTAAATCAGAAAAAAATTATTCAATTATGAATAACATACCGAAATATGCATTATCTAATTCAAGACTTGGTTCATATCCCATAACCAGGTCTGGTTGCTGCGCACTATATGTTAAGATTCGGTTTTCTTTAAAAAATTTCATCGCTTCTCTAAAATGACCAAAACAAGGCAAATTCATTCTGCTTAAATTCAGGTAACCATAATTCGGTTTCCAGTTACCAACTTGACATTGGGTTAGTTCTGTAAAGTCCGGGCCCATTGAAGTCAAATTGAGTATAAAATCCTTCTTATCGATGTGACAATTGAAGAGCATGAAATTTGATACGCTTGTTCGCAAAAAATAGCTATCGAGAGTTGAGTTCGAGTCGGTATAGTATTTTGTATTATTTACTGCTTTTGGAAAACTGCCGTCACCCAAGGCAATTACTTGAAAATCATGAGTTCGTGTAGTTTGGCGGAAGTTTCGAAGTCCTAAAATAATGTTATACTGTTCTAAACTGTCAACGAAAACTGTTAAATTAATTGAATCTGCCTGAAAATCCACTGCAACAACAAGATGAGTCCACTTATTTTTTGTAAATCGGAAATTTCTTAAATCAATCAAAGAACATTCATAAGAAGAGGGATTTTCTGCATTATCGTTAAATATATGCATATTGTTAAAGCTATTTAGTAAAGCTATTTTTGTATGCTTTAATGCATTTCGAATTGGTGATATTCCATGTTGGGATACATCTGCATTAGTACTTGAGTTCTGATTAGTCTGCTTTATAGGATTCTTGTTATGGTGCAATTTCTCTGGCATTGATTTTAATTTCGTGTCAGTTGTAGATTTAATAAAACTTTCTTCACACTCCATTTGCGGATGAATTTGTATTTCGCCATTCGGACGAGATGTTTCGAAGACTAAGTTCATATTGTCGTTTATGTAAATACTAAGCATAGCTTGCTCTGTGCCAACAGACACAATGTGACTCTTCTTAAAAGAAAGAAGAAGAGAAAGAAGTAATTGCTAAATTGCTAAAGTTATATATGCTTTAAAGTTACTAACCAAACATTCCTCATTGACATCGTTATCAATACGTTGACTGGACATTTTTTGAGCTATTGAGTGCTTAACTTGAACCCATATCGATAATGTAATACCGTCGTTGTTCCAAAGTTTTGTGTGTGTTATAGGAAGAAAGCACGGCGCTTTCGTAAAGGGTGTTGATATACGATTATGTAAATGGTAGTTTCTTATGCGATCAATACATTCTGTTATGGTAATATCACTAGTTGATATGCACTTGCCATCTAAAAGTTTGTTAAAAAAATTGTATGTTTTTACAAATGCAAATTATAACTTTTGTTTAACTGTTTGATATCATTTTGTGTCGAAAAAAAATTAAAAGTAAAATACTTTGTTTGTGTAATAGTTTGTATTGAAGTCACCTCCGAGTAATAAAAGCAAAGTTCTAGAATCTCTTGTCATTAAACAGATATCCCCTTACATTCAACTAGCCCCTCATTAACATGGATTTCCTTCACGTCATAGTACCACCTTTCTTTGCGAGATCTCATCCCAAATCTCTAATGTCTTAAATCAAAGTGCTAGTTGGCATTGAGTTCGCAAAGGTATTTGGCACAGTCTCCCATAGCACCCTGTTAAATGACTAGATTGAAAAATCTATTCCTGACTCAACAAAAAAGATAGATCTGAAACTATCTCATAGGCAGATCATGCTTTGTTGACTTTAGCGATAAAATGTCAAAGGTCAGTAAATTGAAGCAAGGTGTTTCCCAGGGCAACGTTCTTTAACCGATTTTTTTCAATTTATACATGTCTAAACTCCCAGACTCCCCTGAGAGAGTCAGAATCATAACATATGCAGATAACTACACAATTCTAACTAAGGGCTAGGACCCCGTGCAACAAATGAAATGCATATCTTCTCTTGTAGCACCGTTGCTGGATGATAGAAATCTTCACCTAACAACAATAAAATCCTCAGTTACCATCTTCACTTCTTGGACTGAAGAGATATCTATGACTTTACCCATAAATATCGGTAAATTAAGGATCCCCACCATCACCAAACCTAAAGTCCTGGGTGCTGTACTCGACGGCATTATGAATTGCAGCTAGCTGCCATCGCATGACGCATGCTGATCATCTTCATGCATAATCGAAAATACTTCTTGTAAAAGAACATATTCAACTGTTGCCCAAGTAATACCACCTTGCGTGTCACATAGATGAACATTCATTGATCCCTCCCTTCCTATCAAAGATATATCGACACCCTTTGCAATAGAGCGAACATTAGTCAAGTCGAATATTAACGTGGATTTCACATAGATGCAGTATTCTCTTCGAGACCAAAGTTGCCAGACAACAAGGTTCTCAACAAGCCTCCGCCTAACATTTCCCTCGTGCAGCAAGAACTGCCCTAGCTTAATTGAAATCAGGATATAGCCGAGTGCTAAACAGTTACTTAAACACGTCTATTCCTAATGTGTACCCAAATTGCAGCTCTACTCCCAATGACATCGCCAATCTTAATATTTGGCTATTTAGTCACTTGAGTGAGATGAAACCACAGAGTAATTGCAGAGAGATGGACGAGAATAAGATGAATTTATTTGCTTGTAGCAAAATTCACGTAATTTGCCACTTAGATATATTTGTCATAAATTAGATAAATTTGAAAAATTTTTGAATGATAATTGGTGTGATGATGTAGTTTTAGGATCTGTTAAAAACCAAACAGGTATGATGTTAAAATCTCCAAGTGGATAAATACATTAATATAAAGATAAAAACCCAAGTATTTAGCTGACATAAGAAATAGTTGCGTCGTTGTAATAGATGCCAATATATTCACAAAACAAAGAAAAGGATTGAAGCGTGCGATAATATAAGCTTTGATTTATGAGATAATACAATAAATTATAAAATATATGTATCATATTTACCAATTAAAATAGGAAATTCCAATTCCACTTTTGGTTGAACTTTTTTAACAGAGTTTGTGCATATATAATTTATTCCTTTTAATAATACTTCCACTGGTGGTTGTCGACATGCCAAAATATTAAAGAACTCACTGAGAGCATCAGGTGTATTTAAGTCGGTAATAAGTGATAAAATTGATTGCTGTAGTTCTATAATAAAATAATAGTATACATAATTATAATGAGTAAATTAATAAATAAAATTAAACCTTTTAGTCGTGGATCATTGACAGATAACACAGGTCTAAACCCTCTCAGTAAAAAGAGTGGACCTCCCAAGTACTCTCGCATGACAAATAAACGATTCGCTAACTGCAACAAACTATCACACCAACCCAAAGGGTTATCAACGCAAATATGTGACAACTCCATTAGAATCTCCACTACTAAGCGACTTAGTCCATTATGTAAGATATGAGTTCTGTAACGTGAATTCGGTTGTAATGAATGCCACAAATCAGCGCTTAATTCTTCAGCTTCTGTATCTGAAACTTCAGGTATTTCACCATCAGCTTCATATCCTTCATCAGCTAACAATAAAATGTCTTCGTCATTTTCACTTAATTCCATTTCACTGTCAACACATATATTAGATGCAATTGTAGACAAATAGTCCGCATCTGCACTGGGAAATGAAAAAGGTCGAGATATATTATTACTTCGCGTAGTTACGTTACGGTTAAAATTTTTCGAAAACAGCATTTGTCCCTCAAGAGGTGTTAATGGTGTCAGTGGAGTTCGATTAGGTAACATAGCCTCGTCTGCAGTAGTTGTTGTAGTCGTTGAAGTTAAATTGCTATTGCTTAAACTAACTCCCGGTGATTGATCTTTTACTGTACTGGACATTTCAGCAATTCTTAGCAGTGCTTGAAGCACCTGCACAATTGGGTTCTCACGTGCATCCTCCGAGTTGTTTTGCCATTTTCCTGCAGCATTACTGAGTATAACTGATTTTAGTTTGCATAAATGTTTCTGCATTTTCTCGCCTATAAATAAAGACGTTGATTTTTTACACTATTTTAGACTACGAGCTATGTATATCACTAATACTACTACCGGATCTCTTGTACGAGTGCAGTAAAAGTCTGATAAGATTTATCTTATGATCTTGATTTGTGTTCTTCTTCTACAAAAACGATTACGATTTTGTTGTCTTAAGTAATCAAAAGTAAAATAACCGAGATGTTAAGTGTAAGTTAAGCGAAAGTGTTATATTCTAAAAGTAAATGTTAGTATGAAGAAATGCGAGCAACAATAGATATTGTCATTGTTGAAGCAGTTATCATCACACACCTAAAATAATGAAGTACAATGAAGAAGTTCACGCTTCGATAAGCAACGTGTGCAACCGCAAGTCGCGAAATTCAATATTCAATCTATTTACAGCTGAGCCTCTCTATGCTCTTACTGAGTTTATTACACTGCAACTGGATTGCTATCGTGTATTTATTCTAATAATTAACTTAGACTGTAGTTAATATTGGCCTTAGTGTTAAAATGCATTTTCCTCACCACCCTTAAAAGTTACTCGTTAACACTGAAAAAATACTTATGAATTTTCTATGGCTTCTTAGTTGACAGAATCTAATATGTTTTTTTTTATTAAATAAATTTTTGTAAGATGTTTAATCAGGAGCGGTTCTTGTTATCAAGGGTTCGGAATGAATCTGATGTTAAATAAATTTTTCTACCTGCACTTACACTTCGATTCTAACTCTCTGTTATGGTTCGAGTAAATTTTGATTGCTCCATGTATAAATTTTAGACAGCATTGGGAAGATAATAAAATTATTTCAATAGTTCATAATTACAATGGTCAATAAGGGTTGAACTATAGTAGGAATATTATCTCTATCATTAGAACGAGCAATAGCATATTGCGAGATCGGGATCGCTTTTCGCTAACCTGGATAATTTAAAGCTGTTTTTACGACACCTTATGCGATTTATAGATAGCTAGATGGGGGTATTGAATTTGTTTGCTGTCATTCGCATGATATGAACAGGTAATAGACTTTCATTAAGACTTAGATTTTGTTTTTATATCATAATCAATGTCATTTGAACTACTCTAACGGTAGTGGATATGCTCGTCATAGACGAACGCATAGCTAACCACAAAACAAATCTTCCATAAGTAACCACAGAATTGACTGAGACAAAATGATGAAATTAACCACCGATAGAGTTCATAATCTGATAAGCCGACAACATAGCACTCTCATCGTATAACAATAAAAAGTGTATTTAAAGAAATTTTGGTTTTTTTTTATATTTAAAATAATGCACTTTATACTTACCATCTTCATTTTTATAACCTTTAATGCATATTGCCATTGTGACTTCGAATAGTTTTAATAATGGTTTTCTACAGCTTTCATAGTTAGAAGCTAATAACGTTAATTCTGCATCTGCTTGTGACTGAGCCTTATTTGAATTACTGGCAGAATCTTCACAGTTATTTTCACTGCTGAAGAATGCACCGAAAAGGCCAAAAAACTTTTTTAAAATGCCCTCCTGGCCACCTTGAACTGCTGCAACTGCGGCCGTAGTTTCATGTGATAGTTTTGGCTCCGACAATGCAAACGTCGTTGTAGGTAAATCAAAATTGTTTTCGCGATTTGTTAACAACGACCACAAATTTGACTCGTTTCTTTCTGCACTGCGTGGATAAAAATGATTGCGTATGTCAAACAGCACAATGCTTTCAGTTAGGAGCAATTCTCTCGAAATTTCTGAGGACCTATCAAAAAAAAACTTGGTCTTAGAAGAATTTTGCGTATACAACGAATCGACTACACTATCGAATTGATCGGTGTGAAATAAGTCTAAGTCAAGTGTATCGCTTGCCAGTGTTTTTGCTGTAGTATAAGAATTGATACTGCTTAGTGTGTCTGTTTTATTCGAATCTATACTGGAAATTAGACTTTCCAACGAACCTGAAAAACAAATGATTGCTTTGTTGTCATTATTATGTGTAAGACTAGTTGTAGTAGACGTGCTGGGTGTAAATGTGTAAAGATGTTGTTCTTCCTCCTTCTCGTTCTGCATGGAGGAGGTATTTTGGTATTCATTTCGTTTCAAAGCTGTGCACGATATGAATAAAAAACTACTCAGGGCGTTATAATTAAGTTTGAGTATATCTATTATAGTCTTATCACTCTTTTTAATGTTTAGTTTAAGTGCAGTTTTATCAAATGATTTCGCATTTACGTTTTCATTGCCACTTTTCGTAGTTTCGCTTAGATTGTCTTCAATGTTGTTGTCTTCAATGTTGTCCACGACAATGGAGTATATTTTAGCAAATTCTTTGTAGAATATTTGACTTGTCTTGAGCAATTCGTTGTTAAGCGACCAATGCAGCATGACATTTTGCAATATGTCAACAGGATTATAATCCTGTAGTTCGAATGATATGTCATTAAACACTTTCTGTTCCTTAGTAAGCCAAAAATTTGGCTTTATAGCATATTTATAACTAATACTACATAAAAACTTATAAAATAGCTGAACGGCATTATCACTACTATGTAGTTGCAGTGTGATTAGACGACAGCTTAAAGCCGTTTGTTCTTGGTTGTTGTCACCTAGAAATGTGATGTTGTCAATACCAATTTTAATAAGATCACAAATACTGCGGATTAGCGTGGGTTCAGTTTGAAGATCTTCCAAATGTTGTATATTTTCTCCGTTATAAAATGCTTTAATTAAGCGAATGTCACTCATGTAGATTATAAAGATATTAAGGCATTCTAAAATTATTTTTAATAAATCTGCTTTATCACAATTATTCTCAGTGGTTGGGATTGTTTCGGCATGCAAATATAAGTCATCACGATTTGCTCCCTTTGCGATTTGCTCCTTTTCTTTACATGGAGAAACTGGTAATTTTAAATATTGCTTGGATTCCTTCGCAAATTTTTTATCAGTATTAGTCGCACTATTGATTTTTGTATATTTAACTTTGAACTCCCGAAAAATTGGAAGCACAATTTCTGCCAGTATTCCCGATGCAATATCATTACTTAGCATTTGTGATATGTGTTTTAAATGCTTAAGAAAGACACGTAGAGTTTTATTGTTACTGTCATTAATTAATTGATTGTATAATTGCTTATAAAGTTGTAGAAGTCCTACGTGAAATTCTTTTGATCGTAGCTTTAAATCACATTTTTGACAAATACTTTGGTTTCTCTTATTGTGATCAGCAATTGGCAAAGTTCTTGCGAATATGGTATGCAACAGTTTACGGTGTAAAAAATTATAGGCATATTTTTGATAAACATCTCCTACTCTCCTGATTGAGTTCAAACAGATTTCAAATGTCGACAAAGAGTAATGGCAGCAACAGGTGCCAAGGAGAAGGTAGCGGAACGCGTGTTCTTGTAAGTTTATGCTTAGGTGAGGTAACAAGTCTAAAAGTATGCCTTGAAAGTAACAACTCATTCCTTGATCATTACTGCGCTGTTGGCAGTGTAGTTGGTTTGAGTTGATTTTTCTACGACGCGGTTTTTGCGTTGTCCCATCATATATAATACTGCCATTAAGTGAAAAGTGCTCTGATTTTGTAACCCGATCAATTATCTTAATAATTATCTTAAAAATTTTAGTAACAAATAATTGAATATCTGCAGAAAAAGCCCTTGTTCCAAGAAGTTGCACTATTTCTTTACAACTTTTAACACAAATATCGATATGATTTTTATTTATTAATTTTTTATTAATTGATTTGTTACTATTACCGCTTTCATCATTTACAGTCTTGCTCAAATATGTTATACTGTTATGCACTATACCAAATATAATCATGTTGATATCTAGTAAAGTTATGATATGTGTTGTTCCTTTCTCAACGTCGAGCTTATAAAAATCCTGTTGGTAATTATTCATAGCAATTATTAGTTTAGAAGTAACAGTTTCATAGCAAATATTGTGGATATCATCGTCATACGAAAATAAATTATTTAAACAATTTTCAATTAAATGTAATAGACAATATATTATATTGAAAGTGTTATTTTCACTAAATATCTCATTGGCGCATATTAAAGTTTCCAAAGCAAATGACAATGTGACAGCGCTCATCGACTGCACGGATAATGTGCAGTCGTAGTTGTGATCCGCAGCAACACATTTGTTCAACAGCTTTAACAGTACGAAAGCTATTTCGTCACTTGTTTTCGTAACCTTCTTGAATTTCTCAAAGTTTTTAATAATCCTTTTTTGCTTTAATTCTAGATTGCTCTGGTTTATATTTGTAGAATTTTTTAAAAGAACTTTTTTCCTTTCTTGCGTATTAGTTTTGTAGTTTTTATGTAGCATGTTTAAGTTGCCAATTAATTTAGTAACTGGTATTGATTCTTCTACCACGACATCGTTTTGATTCCAAGGGCAATTTGGGAAGAGGTTAATAAACAAGTTGCAAAGACTTTGTTGCGAAGCAATAAGCTGGAAGTATAAGTTTGTTATAAGGATTATAAAGATTACATTTTAATCCACACAAACCTTTATATCGACATCTAACAGAAACTGTAGTATGTGTTGTCCAAGTTGTTCAGTTAGAAATGTACGTAACGCTACAATTTTATAGCAATCAGTGGGTGCATTAAGAACCAACTAGTCACGAACGGAAAAAATTAAAAAAAAAATTTATTGTAAATGATGATTACAATGTTATATGAAAATAATATATATATATATATCTGTTACCTGAGCAAAATTCTTATCAAATATATTCTCAGTGTCAAAATTTGTACCGTTAATATGCGTTGATGAATACAGTTCTGATTTGCTAATTATGGCAAATGTTTGCTCCAAAAACATTGAGCATATTTCCTCAGCGACTGGATTAAAAAATCTAAAAGTAAAGTGTATTATTGAAATAAACATATGAAATCAAAGAACTATGACAAATAAGAAACTAATAATAATGATTGAATTTTTAGGTCATTATATAGATAGACTTGTGGAAAAAAATTATCAGATCTATTGTACTACTCAATAGATGACTTTTATCACTTATCAAAAGAAAGGCTAGCTTGTCTTGTGTTCAGACAAGAACCGGTGAAATCAAGCCGGAATCCTTATGATCCAGAATTCTCTTTTTGTAAAGAGCGAAGCCTGTCAATGACAACAGTGGTGACTAATAGTCTTGTTCCCTTTTATAGTTCCTTAAATAATTGTTGAAAAAAGAAACTACCATTTCACGTTTATAAAAATCTAAGCAATTTAATGTTGCAATGACAAAGTTTTTTTTTTCGTACGGAGAAGATTTTCATAGTAAAAAAAAATTATTATTTTTTAATTATATTTAACAATAACTATAATAAAAGTCAGTTTTTACTTTAAGTATTCATGAAAAATAATATTTTGAGTATCTATTAAAATTATTTAACTAAATATTTCTACATTTTATTTGGCAAATTTTTGTTTTATTACAAATTATGTACGCTTCGATGAATAGAAAGATTAAGGATGAATCATCAGTAAAAAAAAATAATTATTTTTTTATTTAAAAAATTTACAAAACTATGCACCTTTTAAACTCTGCATCTCGCAGTAATTCGTCATTTATAAACTGAGAATTAAATAAAAAGAGCTCAACCCAATGTAACTGAAATGTAAATACAAATATTAGATGAGATCTCAGCGAGAATATGAAATCATTACGTGTCACTTACCTTAAGTTCCGTATTAAACTCTCTGGAAGCATTTAAGTAATTACTCCAAATTGTTTTCAATGTCTGCAAAAGTAAAGTGTTGGAGCACTGTTCCATGGCCAGTCATATGCACCGTTGTACTCTTCCTGTGAGGCTGGAAAGTGGGATCGAACGTCAACTGCTATGGCTTGCACTGAACTAAGCAACGATGTGCGTAGACATACTTGAAAATCAACAAGTAAACAAATAATTTTGTGTTTGATTAAACGAATCGTGAAACGAATACTGACTTGGAACATCTGAGGAATGTACTTAAATTATCTACATGTAAACAACACGAGTACAAGAAAAAAGACGAAGAAAGGAAGAAAGACATTCAATGCGGTTTGCGGTTCATATCACATGTAAAAGTATATGCACACATAAACGCACTTGTATATATAGTCGATAGTTTTCAAAAAAATTGTACATACATACATATGTATAGAAAAAACAAAAAAAAAACATATACTTGTATTGTACAACCGGCAAATATTTAAGACTATTGATCATGGAATCTCTGTTTCAAATTACTAAGATGTCTAGGAGTCTTTTTAGATCTGATGATTATCGTTTAGAATACATAATGTTTAAAATAATTATTTATATTAATTTAAATTTACATCTTAAAACGTTGTATATAAAGCGGAGAAATATTGTGTAGAATTAAAAATCTAACAGCAATGTACTTCAGAAATCTAAATACATATCTATATAAAATTCACTTTCTTCTTTTAAGGAATATAGTACGATTAATTAAAATATGTGTATTGTTGGGAAAATTGGAGAGGCACCACTAAATTTAGAATCAAGCAATAGTATATATTTCGTCTAACCGGTACCAAACATTATACTCTTACCTCAGCGAACCATTTACAAAGATCTACATATCTAGTATATCTAGAATATATTTCATCTATTGTTGAAATCGTTTACAAGCTACTGTCATCAAATACAATATATATATGTATACTAAGTAACTTAGTTATCAAATTTAGATTTAACATAATTTTATGAATTTTTCTACTTCACTGTATAGTGAAATTAATACATAGTAATTAAATAAAAGTACAGCTTGGGTATTATATGTGTTTTATTGAAATGCCATACTAAAGTTAGATTTGCAGCTTGCTCACACTAAGAATTATTTATAATTTGACCTTATAATTATCATTATAGATAATTAAAACTTATTGGCAGATTTGATTGTTCACTTATAGTGGTTCATAATCTTTTTATATGCTAAGCTGCAATGGTTGCGGTCACTTAAACTTACAAGCAAACATATGAAAGATAAGCCCTAACTCTTTACAAGCCATGAGCGGAGTCACAAATATAAATTAATAAAATAATGCATTTATAAATAAAAATTGAATAACAGTGGTGGCGCAAACACTAATTGTTTAAATAATATGACCAACTGGTATATATATTTGTTCTGTTTAATTTGTTAACAAATTTAAAATTAACACTGTTAACTGTACTGAAAACGAAAACAAACAAAAAATCAAATTTATCCAAATTGCGTTTTAATTTTTATATTAGCATAGCGCCGTACAGTTGTACGAAATTAATTATTCAACTAATCCATTAACATTGTTATTATTATTTGGATATTTCACATTAGTTTTTCTTACCAATATATATTGCTTTTTTTTGAGTTTAATATCCAAACGCCATTTTACTTTAACATTTTTTCGCGAGTTCCTTTGCGAAATAAACTCAACATATATTAAGTATTCATTCTTTCATGTACTATTTCAAAATACTTAAAATATTTTTCTATTCTATCAATTTAAACTCTTTTATTTCTCTATTGGAGTAGAACTTGTTTCCCTGCTGACTTAAGGTTTCGATGTAATTCAATGCTATGCGAAAAGTAGACTACAAACTTGAAGACAATAACAAATGAAAAACAAAACAGAAAACAGCTGAAGAAAGTAAAGTAGAAAAGAATAAGAGCTCCAGCTGTGAAATCAGAGTTGCATTTTTTGTTCAAAAACACATCAGCTTATTATTATACATACATATATATTCGAGTAAAATGTAAAAATATTAGATAAAATCCAAAATTCTAACAATAGTAGACTTCGCATAAAGTAGAAGAACACATTCAAGTAAAAAATAGAGAGTCTTTTTTTGAACTAGTCGTAATCAAACTTGTGTTAAATAAGTAAAATTTCAATACATCTAATTTTTGTGAAAAATTAAAATATTCGTCTCCACAATTCAATGATAGTCGTATAAATATGGGAGTGTTTTGTAAAAGCGAAACACTCTATATATATGTTATCAAATTTACTCTATGATTTTAGCACTTTAGTAAGCTAAACTTGTGCTAAAATGCTATAGTGGTAAATTGTTAAATGCAAACATCGAGAGTGCATATTTCGTGATTAGAGCAAAGCTTACCGAAATGTTTAAAATATATGTATAATATAAAGTATCTTAAAAAAAACCTTGTTTAGTTTGTTTATTTTCCACACTAACATAACTTTTCTATAAAGGGATTTCAACTTTGTTAAGTAAAGCAATTGTGTCCGAGATATCCTTGTTTTTTCAGAGAACGGGGACAATCTTCCATTTTTAATATAGCTTCAGACTGTTCTAAATCTGAATCCTAATTTTCTTTGAGCACCTACTGTAATAAATCTCAAAATAAATTATAGTCTGTGTATTGTTAAGTATTTACAATATTTTCATCAATTTGTTATGTGGATTTATTCCACATATTTGTCAGTCTAGTGTCAGTTTAGTCTTGCTTTATATTAAACAGAATACAAGGCAAAAAATACATAAAGGATAGAGCCCTGAAATTATTTATGAAAACTGATAGACTTACCAACACCGCGTTATCGAATCTCAGAATGGTTACAGGCTTCTCGGAGAGGTAAGTAGATCTGAGGTCAATTATTGCTTAGTCTGATGAAGTGATAAAATAAAGAGGGATTTTAAAGACACCTGGCTGAAATAGTTTCAACATAATAAAAGGCAAAACGCAATATTACAGTTTTTATTTAGAAATTTATCCTACACAAAAGTAATGTTTCCTGTTTATACATTTCTGAGTGCACTGAAGCTTACTTACTGTTAATGCTGATTCAGCTACGATCGCCATAGTGAAGAATGCTGCACATAGCATTCTTTGTTTATTTGATGAACAATGTTGCGCTTGTGGTTACATTTATAGAAGTCAACTGAGATACGACAAACACCACACACGTATATCCAGAATGTAAATCTCAGCATAATTGGATTGTTTTGATTAGCTTTTGCTGGATACTTTCAATTCAGTTTTAGTCAAGCTGTCAAACAAAACTGGTCGTAGTTTCTGTGTATAACAAATCCATGCATATTTACCAAATTTATTTGAAGTCATTATGTTATTAATTTCGACAAAAACTTAAATGCGAATATATTATAATATTGAAGTTTCTTATTTCCTTTTTACATACAGATCCATTGTCTTCTTGATCTTTACTTTGTTAGTCATTGTTTTTTGTTATATTCTTACATTTTGCCCATGTGTAAAAAACGTAAAATAATTTAAGGCATATTACCTACATATTTCCACTAATTTATAGGCCATCTACCTAAAAATGTTGGAATGAAACTAATATATAATAAAATAAATGTTATTTGTATCCTTATTAAAACTTTTAATTTATTTTTCCATTTGAATCGATAGCTATCGCTATGAATTAAAAAGTTCTTATTTATATAATTATATATATTAGACAATCGATATACATATATAATTAGTGGTTTGTTATATTAAGTGAAATACAAATACTATTAGCTACAGTTCAAGCTTTTTATTTTTTGTTTGGTTTAAATGAAAGTGCACTTAAACGTAATATAAAGTCTAGTAAGTATATTTGTATTGTAATTTCCTTGGGATCGGTAGTTACGTAGAAACCAGGTACCCCAGCATTATGCAATGTGAGTTGCTGCTCACGAACCTATAATAATGAAATTTTTAAAATCAATACATTTTTTTAATATGTTTCCTACCTTTTCATCTAACAAAGAAATTATATTTTTATCTGTGTCTGCTAATATCTGAGCATGTCTCTTGCTCGTAATCTTTACAATATGTTCCAGTTCTTCCTTATCCGCAGTTACTTTTTTCCAATCATCCATTTCTTCTTTAAATTTCTTTTGTTGAGTTTCGCGCAACTGCAAGAGATGCTTCTCTGTTAAATGCTGAATTTCCACTAGACCTAATACAATTTGGTATATAGTATCATAGACTAAACAATTCGCTAATTCTGTTAGCAGTTCATAAGAAATCCGGATTTGGTAGTATCTACGTAAATCGAAAGATGGTAAATGGACGCCTTGGCATTATTGAAATAATTTACTCTGGAATTTTCGCATGCATGCTTTTTAGTTGATCCAATAAAAAATACAATTTTCTTTGAATAAATTCTGGGCTGAACTCATTTTCCTTGGTAGAATCCTCAATTTTGGCCGTTTCAATGTCCATTTTACTTAAATTTAATAATTATTTGATTGTTGAAATAGAAAATTGTTGATTTCACATAAATTTTAAACTTATTGTCCAGCGTCATTATTGAGGATGAACAGCTGAGTTAACAGGGCTACCATAATTTTAAATTAAAAAAAAGGTAATATAAAGAACACCATAACTTGACGAAGTATTAGATTTCATATATATATTCCTTAATTATTTCTCCAAATTTTTTATTAGAGAAAAAGTACAGCAACGTCTACAACTGTCTACAACTGTTTGCTTGCAAAGCTTAATTTCTTTTTTAATAAAATAATATATATTATCTAAAAACTAATATATAATAATTTTTAGTTTATGTAGCAGTTAGTCTTTACTTAACTTATTTCTTTTTCAAAAACTCACTTTTGTTTAATATTTTAATATCTTTCAACTTGCTTGATTTTTTATTAACATACATTTATATTAGGTAAATTCTTTTGGAACAAATGCTCCAATCGAATAAATTTTGGCTGCTTAAAAATAATTTGGCAGCACTGTCTAAATCAGTAAACATATGACAAGAAAACAAATTTTAAACAAATGTATGGTTGATAAATATATGTATATACAAAAATAACCCCAGTTAAAATGCGGTTATTTTTGTTTTTTAAAATATACTAACTTTTATTTCGAAAGTTTTTTGTGTATCTCTACACGTGTTTCGGCAAATTCGCTTTTGCCTTCATCAGGAGAATTCCTAATATTGAATTTTTCAATGATCTAATGATCTAAAAATCATTCACAATAGATCAGTTTTAAGATTTGGCACCATTGTAATGCGAGTGGCTTATTCGTTAAACAGTTTCAAGAAAGTGGGCTTTTTTTGCGAATTTTGTTTTGCTTTACATATTAATATTAAAGTGAAACGTGTTCTATTGAAGCATTCGTGTCGAAAGAATACATCTGTTGTAGAAATAAATATATATCTCAGAATACTTTAATACTTAATTTTATTTATAAGAATTGATATTAGATTTAAATCAACAAATCAAAATTCAAAATTCTCCTTTTATATTTACGTTATATATAAATTGTCAAACATGTAGCACTACAGGAAAAGTAAAATTAAAAATTGTTCGGCTACAACTTCAACAGCGGTGGCAGTTTAAGTCACACATTCTGTTCGTAACATTTATTTTCAGTTCATTTAATTTTGACTGTACGATTCGACAGTTTCGGCTTCAGCTATAGCTGCAACATTCTGTTCAGGCAGTTATGTCATACAGAAATATATATAATATGAGTGGTAAAAAAAAAATAAAAAATGCGTACGCAAAATATTATTAAAGACATTTTACTCAATAGTTCGAAAATGACATCACTAATCGCCGCCCATTGTTCTTCAGGTCTATATTTTAAACCAATCGAAACGTTTCCAACTTGAAATTGTAGCATTTTTGTATTGTTTAATACTTCAAAGCGTTTAGTCATTACGATATTTGTATCAAATAACAATCAACGATATTGTATTATGGTGAGTATTTTCAAGTGCCCAAACATGCATTGGCTAAATTTCATACCGTATCTGCATGAATGCTACCCTGTTAGTAGCTACCCTGTTATTTTAATGTAAATTAAATAACTACCCTGTTTTTAAATTATCGTGATGGAGTTGGTTGGTATTTTAGAAATGTCTATGCTTTTACCAAAATATTCGGATATTGAGCATTATGTTACGTTAGAACCGCAGACATCATATATTTTTCGGTTTATAATTCAAAATATAAGTAACATACAACAAAGCAACGGTAAACATATACTTTCGAATGACACTGAAGAAGCGGAATACTTAGTACAGTCATTGGTTGATAAGTACTGGGAACGTATACATACAGGTCACTTCTCACAAGTGTCTCAAGATATACGAAAAATTTATGCTGTTGGAAACTATTTCAAGGTTTGTAAATAAGTGTACAAATTTTAATAAATTAAAATAGATCTTTTATTTGTTATTTAGAAATTCAGAAGTTGAACAATTGGCTAAATGTAATGAAATACTGGATCAAGCGATACTTCTAGGTTGTACACAGAATTTATATGTGAACAACGTGAGATTACAGAATTGTCTACAAAAATATTTCAGTGCTGTATTATGTAAGTCTAAAATATCATTATTTTTAGTAATTAATTTTAATTTTTATTTTTCCTAAATTAAAGATGCTGATCTGCGTCTACCAATAATAAAGTCTTTACAACGACAATTACTGAGGTGTGATATACCTCAGTACGATTGTCCATCTATAGATTTTTTTCGAAAAAATTGCTTTGAAACGAAGTGCCCAGCATTGTTATTAAATTCGATTTCTCATTGGTCGGCATTGGAAAAATGGAGAGATTTAAATTATATAATTAAAATAGCTGGCAATCGTACTGTTCCAGTGGAAATTGGTTCTAATTATACAAGTGAAGAATGGTCACAACAATTGATAAAAATACGTGATTTTTTACAGAGGCAATTTTGTGGAAATATAAAAGATTCTGAATTTGAAATAGAATACTTAGCGCAGCACGAGCTTTTTGATCAAGTACCAGAATTAATGAAGGATATACGTATACCCGATTATTGTATTTTGGCTACGAAGGCTGAACAGAAGGTTGACATAAAAGCATGGCTTGGACCAAAAGGAACTATCTCTCCATTGCATTATGACCCGAAGCACAATTTACTTTGTCAAGTTTTTGGAGCTAAAACAGTTATTTTAGCCGCACCAGAAGACAGTTCGAATTTATATCCACATAAAACACAATTCCTGAACAATACCTCACAAATTGATGCTATTAACTTAGATTTGCAGAAGTATCCAAAATCAGCAAATGTCAAATTTCTTCAATTAACCATACAAGAAGGCGACTGTTTATACATACCAAAGAAATGGTGGCATTATGTACGCGCCGAAACAGAAAGTTTCTCAGTGAGCTTCTGGTGGGAATAAAACAAGTTTTTATTTAAAATAAATTATATATATATAAAATTATAAAATTGTGAAATATATGAAAAATTTAGTGCAGCAGTTAGTTATACATTAATTTTTTTGTTTAATTTAAAATGTTAGTTTCATAGTTGCATAGTTGTTCTAAAACTCGTCGCTGTGAAAAAGCTTTCTACAGATATGTGGTGGTGTGGTGAAAAACTTGTTTTTCACATTTGTTTTGTTATAACGTACCAAGTGTTTGTAGTAAGCAGATAATAATACGGTATTTAGTTGTGCGGTAAAATATTTACACGTGCCAAAACTTAATGAAAAGAGCTTTATTTCACCACACTAGTTAAACATATGGAACTTTATTATTTTTGATGGTAGTGATTGAGTTGCTCTCGTATGGATCGACAGACTGGTTTAAGAACGGTTGTTGCAAGGTTAACAAAAATATTTTCTTAATAAAAATAGAAAAATATAAATAAGTGCAATGTTTGTGAATCAATTGCGTCGCGTGTTTACTAAAAATTGTTATTACAATAATGTAAATACTATTAGGGTAAGTGCGCGGAGCTCATAATAAAGTATATAATTTTTTTTTAATCATTTAGGGATGCCCTACAGACAGCTATGACAGAACGCAAAATATATTTATAAATCACAGATGTAACTATTTCAAGTTTAAAAATATTTTTTTAAGATACATTAATAAGCGTAATAAAGCTTTTGTTTCAAACTTATATCATTTAAATTATGATAAGCAATTGTTTGGTCATATAAATACGATAAGAGGTGTGTTTTCTTTTTCTTTTTTTAAAAGAGTAGATAGCCTTAAAAAATCAAGCACGGTAAATATAGTTTCTTTAAGAGAATAATAAGGCAATTGCTCTGTCGGATGAGACAAGACAATTGTCCAAAACTAGTCCGTTACGGACTATTTCAATTGCATTCGCGACGAAAGCTTACGCATACACTAACTGTTTTGAACAGATTAGTTTACGATAAGTAGAATCGACTGATTCGCTATTAAGACACACTTGTGTAAAATGAGCCATCCTTAGGCTAACTGTGATCCATTAAACTGCGCCAGTTGTAGTCTAGACTTGGAGTAGTTACATTTCCTACAGGGTACCAATAACGATTATGTTAGTACGTAAACAAATATTTTAAGTAATATATATCTAAAAAAAAATAAATAATATTAGTTTTATTAGTGACTTCAAGTCTCCACTTATGCGTTAGTAGCGCATAATGAAACTATGAACACGTCAAATTAAGTTTATTAGAATGTTTTGCCTAAAGTTTTTAGAAAATTGAATTAATTTATCCAATTTATTTAAATTATAATTTATTTTCACTGCGTATATTTTTATTTTTAGCCTTTGTTGTCGTTTTTTGTTCTATTTGTGCGTAACATATACTATTTTCGATCTAAATGACACACAAATTAAGGTAATTTTCAATAATTATTTTATTTGGTTAGTAAGAAAGGTATTTTATTATATTGAAATATATGGCTCATCTATCATGATTTACGGGTGATTACTACTTCCTAAAGGGGCACGAGCTATAAAGCACTAATAGTGCTAAATAATTAATTTTACAGAGAATGCTTGAAAGTTACGCTTTCCCTGTTCACTGATCTTTTACTTGTGTTAAATGGAATAAACACGAGACCACAAATTCAATTAATGTTGACTTCAGATTATATTAAAATGATTAAATAAAAAAATTTAGTTACTGAGACACATCTGTTCCTCGGAAGACAAAACTTTGATAAGACTAGAATTATGAAATTGCGTTTACTTTTGTTTTTTTGCTGCTTTTTTGTGGTTATCAGTCGCGTGTCTGGTAGGCAATAAGGTGACATTTCATCGCCTTTTTTTTCCCGCACTTTATCAACACTATGAATACCACAATTGTTATATAATAGTTGTCTTTTTTGCAATTATTTGCATGCTTTATTGTGATACCCTTTGTTGTTTGTTATAAATGCATTATAATTCTATTAAAATGACGGGAATAATGATCTAAATTAAATGCAAGACATAGCAATGAAGGTGCTTATTGGAGAGAATTATATATGTCCATACTTAAGTTCGTTTGCTTAGTGTTGAAAGTCATACATAGGTACCTGAGTCCATAGTATCAGTTAGGGAGATGGTTAGGAGAAAAGCTTACTTTTTGGGATCTGCATTCCAGTTCACTGCGTGACTGGCTGAATGTGAATGAGGTCTGCTCTTGGCTACTCAATGATATCTGTTAGAGATTTAATTAAGAGAACCCTTGACCCTTTTATGCTTGTTCTCCTGTCAACCGTGTCAGTACGCATGTAGATACTTACCATTATTCACCCTTAAGCAATCGTGAATGTATTAGCAGTATAAAAATAATTTACAAATAAAAGTGTCAATAAAAAACTTGAAAACTTATGATAAAATTTCTTCTCTATTTTAAAAAATTGTTTTGGCAGTTTCACGAGAAAGCAATGTAATCGGATATACAATTTTTATAAGTACAAGATCTACAAAGTAGAGACCTTCAATAAGTTGTAGGCTTTGCCCTTCTTAATTCTTAATGTTTATTTATTATAAATAATTCAATTTCGAGTACAATAATTATACGTGTACGAATAACAATCGAATGACAATCATTTTTTTAAAATAAAAATATTCTTAGCTTTTTACCAATTCAAACCCGTGGTAGATCACGTCGGGGTCACCAATTGTAGGCTTTCCCCTCCTTAATTCTTAATGTTTATTTATTATAAATAATTCAATTTCGAGTACAATAATTATACGTGTACGAATGACAATCGAATGACAATCATTTTTTTAAAATAAAAATATTCTTAGCTTTTCACCAATTCTTCTGCCTGGCCAACTGATCTCATTTTCAATATTTTATTTCTTCATATTTGCATGGCTAACTCGTATTATTTTTAATATTGAATGGCGAATATGCAACCACCAGAAATTCTTTAATCTTTACTTTTCTTCTTTTATTTTTACTCACTTTATTTAGTCCAGCTAATTCACACATTCGTCAACATATGCTTTTAGATATAATCATTCATTCGTTCGAATAAGATCATTAACAATATTTGACCATTAATGTTGACTAAGATAAATCCACTACGTTAAAGGATAAAATATCGAAAACTCTTCTATGTTTGTAGCATAAATCCTATCCGAAAAAATATTTCAATTTAGCAAAGAGTGGTGCACTAGCTTGTTTAATTTTGATAGAACCAACCCACCATTCTCATTAGGCGCCTAACTTACCAATATAAGCTTGTCATGAAAAATACATAAATAGCAAGAATTAGTGGTAAAATTATAAAATGCGAGTCAAAGTGTCCATATGTCTATGTGCAGGCAGTCGTTTTTGATGACTGGCTAATTTTTTCTTACAAAGTCATGATGTCCGATCGCATCCTATGATTTTCGATGTAATGTCTTGAAAGTAAGTTTATATGGCATTTGTGTAAAAAAGTTATTCGATGTTGGTTCTTCAACAAATATTTTAGGTGTTTTTTGCTGAAAAATTTGAGAGATTTATTTGCTTTGGAATAGGTACACTTAGAATATATGCGCTATGTAGGTTCCCCGATACTACTACTTTCTACAAACTTAACATTACTATTCCAAACTGCATGTACCCTTAAATGACGTCGTTGGGGTCCATTAATTTATTGTAAATAGTCGTCAAGTTTTAGATGAGTGCATTATACAATATCTAACATAAACAATGTTATCTAATGTTTTTTTTTTGACAAATTTAGAAACTCAATATTTAATCACATTTTGATCTGCTTTTTTAATGGGTTGAAAGAAATATAAGCTGTCATTCTCAGTTCTTAGACTAAATGCAATTTGAAACTAACGAAGGAATGATAAGAGTGCAGAATGCAGAAAGTTCAAAAAATTTTGTTATTGAGTGTTCCATGTTGATAACATGGAAATTACAAATTCAAGTAAATATATATGTAGCAATTTTCTAATAATAGGTTTTCTTTGTTTATTTAAGGTTATTGCTTGTTATTCCACAACCGGTAAAGCATCCAACAAAAAAATTTACGCCAGTGCAACTGAAGCTGTAGCCGATGTAAATGATGGCTCCATGATTTTCTTTGGTGGATTTGGCATTGTTGGTATACCAGAAAAGTCCATTGAGGCACTTAAAGAGAAAGGTGTAAAGAACATCACTGCGGTTACTAATAATGGAGGTTAGTTTATGATATATTATCGAAATGAGATTAGTATACATATACTTTTTTATAATCAGGTGTTGAAGATTGGGGTCTAGGAAAACTTATCCGACAAAGGCAAGTATCTAAAATGATTGCTTCCTATGTAGGAGAAAATGCTGATTTAGTGAATCAATATTTGGCTGGGGACTTAGATGTCGAATTGACGCCTCAGGGAACATTAGCAGAAAAAATAAGAGCTGGTGGTGCAGGTAAGCACTTGTCAAAACCAATTGTGTTGAAATTAATGTATGAAGTACATAAATTTTTTACATCTCATAGGCATACCAGCTTTCTTTACACCTACCGGCTATGCTACTCTGATACAAAATGGCGGAGCACCGATACGTTACAACAAAGATGGTACTGTAGCTATTAAAAGTGAACCAAAACCAGTACAAACATTTAATGGCAAGAATTATGTAATGGAACAATCGCTTTTTGCAGATTATGCGCTTGTAAAGGCTAAGAAAGCCGATCCATATGGAAATTTAGGTTGATAAAATTGTTATAAATTTTTAGAAGTACTTATTGAATATATTTGTATTTAGTTTTTTATAAATCGGCAAGAAATTTTAATCCCGCAATGTGTCGTGCTGCCAAAGTAACGATTGCAGAAGTTGAGGAAATTGTGCCAGTGGGTGCTCTAGATCCCGATCAAATACATGTACCTGGAATATTTGTTGATCGCATATATCAGGGGACCAATTACAGCAAGCGTATTGAAAGACTGCGTGTTACGGAAGAGAATAGTGGTGGAGAAAATGTCAAACCGAATCCAGCTCACGAAATACGTCATCGTATTGCTAGACGTGTTGCAATGGAGTTTCGTGATGGTATGTACGCAAATTTGGGCATTGGCATACCAGTGCTTTCTTCAAATTACTTGCCAAAGGGTGTTAATGTGATGCTGCAGTCAGAGAATGGTATTTTGGGATTGGGACCATTCCCAAAAAAACATGAAGTCGATCACGACTTAATTAACGCAGGCAAAGAAACAGTTACTGTTATTCCAGGAGCTTCATTTTTCGGTTCAGATGAAGGTTTTGCGATGATACGAGGAGGTCACATGGATTTAACTATCTTAGGTGCTATGGAAGTATCTGCAAAGGGTGATTTGGCAAATTGGATGATACCTGTAAGTTTATATATACCATTGTCATTTGGAAAATGTGTCAAATGTCTGTACTATTATTCGTTTACACGTTTATCACACTAAGACTTATGTTATGTAGAGTGTCACGAGCACGTCAAAATCAAAACTGTTGTTGCTTTCTATACAATTTAAAAAACTAAGAGAGAGAGAGAGAGAGAGAGAGAAAAAACAAATTTCGGTATAAATTCGGTCATGACAGCCGAGGCTATCCATGCCTCGTCACTAAGTCAAAGCCATGTTGTATGAATGTATTGCATACATTGTATTTCCTTTAATGTATGTATATAATTTCCTTTTAAATTTGAGCACAATCAAAAAGTACAAAAGTAATAGTAAAAATGCGAAAATGACAAACTAATGTGACATTCTGTTTAACATGCATTTTCATCATAAGAGAAAGAGAAAGAGAGAGAGAGAGAGGGATGGAGTGATATAGACAGAGAGAGAGAGAGCGATGAAGAGATATATATATATGTATAGAGCGACGAATGGAATGATATATATTTATAGAGAGAGAGATGGAGTAATATCCAGAGAGAGAGAGAGAGAGAGAGAGAAGGATGAAGTCATATGGAGTGAGATAGAGAGAAACGAACTTCTGAAAAAGTATTTAAAATATGTGTACTTCGCGGTGTATAGAAAGGTAGGACACGTTATTGATGCATTAGTGGGTTTTGAAAAGTTTTGAAGCATTAATTCTTGAGAATATTTAAATTCGAATATTTGAGCCGATCACTTTAAATTTACTCACTGTTTTATTTTATTTTCGTTTTGTTTTATTCAAATACGTATAGCATATAAATATGTAATTGAATATGATGTTCAATAATTTTCGAGCGATTTTTCTTCTACACTGTATACACAGAGAAGCAACTGTGTGGTGCGAATGGGTGTTGTCTATCACGAAGATCATACGGCAACAGCCATACAGAGAGAAAATAGTTTTGCTGTACTATTCAGGATCTGTCTGCAAACAAATTTATTACCAATGACAATTTTTCTTTGTCATTCTTTGTCATTCTTGATCAGTTGATTTTGTTTTATATGTATACCCATAGTAAATGAGGTGTGAATAATGAGAAAACGAATGGATTTAGAATAGTGTGAATGCTGGAATCTAGAAGTAAATGTTAGAGACTGGGTAAGTTGAAACTAAAATTAATGAAATTAACAAAAATAAGCAGGTTGTGATATCAAAAGAACTGTTTAGTGGATTTAAGAATATCTCTGAAAAAGATTGGTATATTACCGAATTGTTTAATTGGTCATAAAGATCATGGCATAGTTTGATGTGAGAAAGTTTGTACAGCTTTTATAGTTATCTTTGACATTTTTAATTATCTGAAATGTTTATAATTAATAACTTAAAATAAGTTAAGATTACTTAATTACTTTAAATTAATTTTTCCTATTTAGGGTAAATTGGTAAAAGGAATGGGTGGTGCAATGGATCTGGTTGCTGCCCCTGGTACTAAGGTTGTTGTAACAATGGAACATAATGCCCGAGATGGATCGCCTAAAATATTAGACAACTGCTCATTGCCTTTGACAGGAAAAGAAGTTATCGATTTGATTATTTCCGAAAAGGTAAGACTACTTCTAAACTGAGCTGTGTTAAATAAATTCCTTAAATGTGTTTTTTTATGCATTTAGGCTGTTTTTGAAGTTGAAAAAGGTGTTGGCCTTACATTAATTGAAGTCGCAGAAGGTTACACAGTCGATGATGTGATTGCTTGTACGGGTGCCAAATTCAAGGTGTCACCTAATTTGAAGAAAATGACTCAAGCTGAAGTAGCCTAGAATAATGGCAGTGGAACAATGCGCTTTAATATTACTAAGTCGTTGTAAATGTAAAAAACTCGTAAAAAATGTAAATGTGAAGTAATCAAAATGTTTAGAACTATATTTAATAAGAGTCCAAAGTGATATTTTGTGCATTTATTTAACAAAAAATAAAAACGAATATAATTCATCAATGTATTAAGAATAGCAATTTTATTGTAGAATAAATAGAAACTTTAATTATAGAAGTATATAAAAATATCTAACTGTATGCATAAGTTAATGCATACATACTCGTATAAACTTAAATGTATCTTTAATCGTGTTATAGTAAAATACAGAATGAAGAAGTAGTAACTGACCAAATCATCCATATTTATGCGCCATATTGATTTAAGCATACGTATGCTTTCTAATCGCACTTTTTTCCATTAGTTCATCTCAGACGGCAATTTTCTATAATTGTGGAAGAGAGAACTGAAAATAGTATTATTTGTAATTACCTATAACTATGTAATATTATTAACATAGTAAACACTAACGTTAATAAGACTTACTTTGTTCAACGTTTGTTGAGCTCTTTACATAATGTAAGTTAAGTCAGTTACGTATTACTCATCCTGTCTTTTAGAAAGCTTGTCTTTTAATTTTATTGGTAGATTTAGTTAGATTTCTATTTCTAACTAATCGCTTTTGATACGTTTCGTAGTGTCTTAGACCTTCTTGCTTCGCGCATGTGCTTGTTAAGCATATCAAAAAGTTTTATGTCCATTTCGGATTCAGATCGGCAAACGGCACAGAACTGTGAAGTCAATAAGTGCAATGGACTGCGAAAGTAAATTTGCTTGTTCGTATTTAATCCATTTTTGTGATGAGCCCACCAATGCAAAAACATTTCGATAATACCCAATAGCAAAGCCAGATATATGTTGAAAAAGAACAAGGTTGGAATAAGGAGCAAGTGATGTGACGATTTGTTATAACCCAATACAATTTCCTGTAATAAAAAACGATATAAAACTATGTATGGGTAGCTTTTAAAATAATTTAATGCATCTTACATTTATAACACCATCCATTTTCAGATAGTCTTCTCTGGCATATTGAGGACTTTTGGGTTTTTCGTTTTTGTCGTTCACTGGCAAGACCTGTATATCGTGAGGTGGAAAATTTTCATTATAGTCACCACTTATTTGCTTGTCAAACTCTTCGCATGGGGTACCACGCAAATACTTCTTGGGTATATGAAAACTTTTGTGTTTAATGTAACGCACTTTAAGTTTGCCATTTAACGGTTCTCCAGTTTCTTGGTCGAACTTTGGTAATTCTACAGTGGTGCTATCATCGGTGTATATATAATCGACTTCGCCAGTTTCAGAGTTCTGAAATTGTTTTTAGTTAAATAAGCTGCTTATAGATTAAAAAATGTTTTATTGTTATTGTAGCTCGTTGTGATGTTTTATTGTTAGTTATATTTACCATAAAAAAATGTATTGAATTTAATGTTAAAAACTAAACTCTAAATGGAACTATCTGCGTATAGGGTGTTGAAGATGGGTAAATCTAAAGTTGACTTTCCCGTTTGTTTCGATTTGTCGATTTATTGAAAAGCGTTAGCGTTATATAAGATATAGAATTATATATTCCTTTTAATAAATGTGCCACTTTCATGGAATTACCTTCTACATCCTTATAACTCGTTGTAGTCTTATTAAAAGTTAATCATATGTATATATTAAAGTAAATATCACCAGATAACACGTATATAACTTATTGTATTAATCAAATCACTTTATACTTTATAAAAAGGAAAAAGTAAAGAAATTCACTTTTTATTTAATTTTCATGTTTTTTTTATTTAGTTATTGCTTTCTATTTCGAATAATGGTCGCACACGTACATGGTATATGGTATTCAAAAAACTAATCCATTGGAGATAAGGTTTGCTGGTGATAAAACTGTTCAAAAATGAATCATACGATACTGCCAGACGACCAATACTAATTTACACCTAAGCAAATTGTTCGTGTATGTTTGGCATTGCTTTTTTATGTTTTTTCGAAATGTTAATCAAACAAGTAGAATGGTGTCTTAAATATTGTTTCAAAAACAATATAATAACTCTACTAAAATTCGAAAATAGTAAAATATGTGTCTAAATATTAGCCAGTGAAATAGATGTTGACTTGAATTTGAACCCTTCCAATCAGTTGAGAATTACTAAGGCTAAGTGGTTAATTGTGATATAGCGTGAAAACTCCCCATATATCTAAAGAACTTCAGAGAACTGTTTGGGCTTTAAATTTAAAGTAAGAATTTATTCAAGTTGAGATCATAAGATAATTCGCTGAAGTTGAAGGAAGAAAAATCCTAGATTAATATAAATCTGATAAGTACATGCGGAGCACAGATATAGCAAATGTGATGGACTTTCTAATCCTACTTCGATATTTATTAGTAATTAGCTGAAGTTAGTTGTTAGCTAAAGTACCACGCATGTGTAAGCTTGAAGGTTCTGATAGTGAACCCTCAATAAGTAAAACTTTTTACGAGTAACATATCAATTCATAAATCAATTCACCCAACTAGAATTTAAAGAATGTGAACTTTTGTAAACAGAAGAGACAATGAGACAAATCATCAATTTCTCCAATCTCATATTAATTTGTTCCAAAAAATATACTCTGTGCATATTTGACCTACGATACTCTGTACGATTATTCATTCTTATTGCCCGTAACAATGAATATTTTGTGGCTAATACTTGGTTGTTAAGTTACAGACTGAATATATGACTCTTCTTGATATCTAATTTCAAACAATTTCCGAATGATATTTTGGAGATCCCATCGTTGAATGTTTCGCAGTGGCTGTTAATATGAATGAATATTTTTATTGTGTAGAATATAATTAATCAATAATTATAATAAATAATTAAAATATTAATCAATTCCAGACAAATTGTAAATCCATCAATGACAAAAAACAAAACGATAACTATTTAAGAGTTAAAATTATATAAGTATTGCGTATCCCTGATATATCTTTGTTAATCTGAAGACTTCTATTATTGGTGATCATTTTGATATTTGGACTTGTCGTGACCGTAGTCAAATAATTTTCAAATATATTTAACTATTAAAATAAGAGCTATGGAGATGATCGCTTTCTCACTAATGGGATCAACTTTTATTGAATGTTACATTACTTTTAGTTACAAAGATATGTGACATATATATGCAGATATAAGTTGTGCCCTTTATGAACTCGAATTGTATAGGAAGAACTTTTGTGTGAAGTAATCAATCAGACAGTATTGCCATAAAGTATAGGTGTGAAAACGTCTGTTAGAGGCAGGGATTAGTATTAGATTTTAACCCAAATCCTTTACCAACAGAAATCTAATCTAATGCGTTATTATACCATAAATGTTACATCTGATTTAGTAGTTTAACTTATTTAAGTTCTAAGAGTGTTGCTTTTAAAATTAAACATAGGAATCTTCAATTCTTGATCTATTAGTAAAGAACGTATAAAACAATATTCAACTTAATTGTTTGAATTTACCTACTATAAGCGCCGTTTTTATTGAGCGCCATTATCAAAAATAATTAATATACTTAATAAAAATAAAATGTTGATAAGAAAATTTTAATTTTAGATTTAATTTCTTGGCGTCTGATAGTCAAACATTTGTAGGCACCACATGTAGAGTTGAGAGGTAGTTGGAAGAATTGCTAATTATCGAAACCATAACAAATTTGATAAAGTCTGCCAAGACTTATTTGGAGTCCAGTTGTGCTGAGATAAAACATGGAAGTACTTAAAAATGTTATCAATGTAAATATGTTAACCACTTTTATGATCCACTTCATTCTCGTAATAAATTTTGTCATGTAAACAATTGTGAAGGGCTTCAACTTGCCTGCTCTGTAATGACACGACGGATAAAATCACGACACAAGTAACTTCATAATGTACAATATGTACTTCTATTACGTCAACAAATGAGGGTGCGATAACTACGAAAACGAAATCTTCGAAATCATATTTGAAAGAAAGAAAAAATGATTAGTAAAATATATAAAACAAAATAAATGAAGTTTTTTAACAAATTCTATTTTTATTTCAATCCACTTAACACCTAACTTAAAAAATGATTAGCGTCAACTTGTCATAGAAGGGTTAAAGTTCAAATGATTCATGTGAATATTTGGGTTTTTTACGCAAATCTTCTTCAGCAAATATTGTTCTAATGTGTGCGGGGAGCTTGGCAAATATATGCAGAATTCTTAGTTGATTAACTGATTCAAGTTTGTTTTGTTTGTAGAATCAGAATTGCCTATTTACGTCAATCTTAAGTAAGTGTAAAAATATTTCAAATCTTACATTAAGAGTGCTAACTAACTACTGAAATCATCTGAAACCTTAACTTATATTTTCGAACTGCCAATTATTTATCTCTGTGCGAATTATTTTCTTCTTAAATTTTACTTCAAGGTACATTTATATGTTATTAAAATGTTTGAATTATTTTCATAATAGAAATGTTCTAATCTTGATCATTATTTAATACAATAATCCTAACTCAATTATCACGTATGGCTACTTTTCAATAACAGAACACTCTCTCAAATACATTTCGAAATAATTAGTCTATTAGTTATTAGATAATATTAGTTGCATGTTCAGTATACTGCAAGCCATATCGATTAGGTCAGGTTATTAGGATGATCAAAGCCATCCGCTCAGGTCTGTTAGTTGATTATATAAATTGGGAGGCTTTAAACAATTTAGACCTTGTAATGAAGACTAATATATTTTTCAAGAGGAATATTTTCTAAAAAGTAAGTCTATATCATATTAAATAAAATAGTATATGTTGCAAATGCGCTGGATACTGATAAAGCTAAGACGGCACAACTACAGCAGGAGTAATTCAAGGGAATACTTAATATTCTAAAATGGTTCTCTAACCGACTATGGTTTCTCAGTACAGTAACCGCAAGATTTACAATATTACGGCGTTTCTCAATGAAATAACAGAGATTTTGTTTTTATTTAAATTAGACCATTTTATTTTCAGCTGTGCATCTTTGAAAGAAAGAGAAATGTTGAACTATCGACATTACGATCAGAGATGGGGAACGACTAAAATTTATCATAGAACCTCGAGAACAGAGATGTTCTCCAAAAATTATCATAGATGTAAATGTAGAAAGGTGAAAACTAAATAATTTTTTTCAATTATTTTAAGAATATCTGCTGTTGTACTTGTAGTACAGATCAAAGCTTCATAAAATCACTGGCAGCACTCAATTTATTATAAGGGTCTGCTTACCTGTCAAATAATGACCTGCGCTGATAGACATCTGAGAAATAAAACTGTTTGTTGTTATACTTAGGATAATTTCAGTTCATGTGTGGATTGTTGAAGCTACAGTTACCATATTAAAGAATGAGTCAGGTATGTTCTGACTGACAATGATTTTTCGTTATTTATTCGGAGTACTAAATTTATTTGATGTAATAAGTGTACCTATCTCTTTGAGTGTAACATCCATATCAGCTTAGAGATGATTGCTGTGTCTAGCGAGTTCAATGGCTTACAACTTCTAGGGATGTTACTTTAGATCCTGGAAATAAGTGTACCTATCTTTCTTAGCATTATACTCGTATCATATTGAACATTACTGCTGTGCCTGACCAGTTTATCGGCTCATAACTTCCAGGGATATTACTTTTAAATTTTTTTCCTAGAATAATGAATAGAATTTTGTCCAAGCGCATTTTGGACTTGGAAATGTTGGCGTGGAGTAGATACCTTTGATATTAGACATATTTGTAACAGTAAATAAAATATAATTGGAATTTTACTTCTAATTTAAAAAATGCGAAGTAAATCAGAAATATGTATATTAAAAACTATAAAATATAGAAAAAATTCTACTATTATTTTATACTTTTTATTAATTATTTATTTGAGTTAAATTATTTCAATATATATTCTTTTTGTTTAGTACTAATATTTTCATTTGAGTATAAGTAGTTTTTTCTAACTTTTAACAATTTTTAGCTTTGCAATTAAAAGTACTTAATTGCGTGATTGTATGTGTGTATGTGTGTAAGTGTGTTTTGCGAGATTTATTTGATTTTTGTTGTTTTTCAACTAAGATTAACGAAATTGCTAAAAAGAACCTTTAATTTTAATTAAAATAAAAACAAAAAACGAAAATTCATTATTGTTTGTGATGTGATGTCTGTTATGATGAAGCAGGTGAAACGCCGACGGAAATGTTGGATAAAGAGAGTGCAAAGATGAGCTCAAGTTGGTTTTGTTCACGAAAAATAAAACAACAAAAACATAACAAGGCAGAATCACGAAATGGAAAAATTGTACTTTGCTATGTGCGGTTGTGCGTTGGTGTTAGTTTGCATGTGTGTATTTTGGGCATGAATGCTTCTTACCTGTATGGTGTAACCCATCGTATGTTGTTGTTATTATTATTATTATTGTTGCAGACGTTTTTTATTATTATTTTAATTGCACTTGTTTTTTTTTTTTAATAATAGGTAATGTAAGTAATTGATTTTGATTTTTTTGCAAAGAAATCGCAATGGAAATGTTCAGATTTTTATCTTTGCAATTTGTTCGTTTTGGCTTATGGAATATAATTTTTTGTCTCCTGATGAGTTTTTCGTTGTTAAATTTATTTAATATACACTACACACGTCTGAAACAATTTGCTATCGAATACGTATATTGGACTGATAAAAGTTATTTGATGCATATATCCACTAAATATAATCAAACGAAAAATATCGAAAGATACAATAAAAAAATTGTTAACCGCTTTCACGCATAAATCACCTCACGTCTAATCAACATTAACGCCGCTACCTTACTGTGGTGAACAGTTCTCTGCGTTTTGTTATACTCTTTGCATTTGGCACACAATAATAAATTATTTGAAAAGTTAAAAAACATTAACCCTTTATGATCACTAAGAACAGTTCTGGAGCTTTGAAAGCACATTTTTACTTAATTTTTATTTTATTTGTAAAAAATGTCATTTGTTTTCGTAAAAGCTTCTCAATTTATAATTACTATATAATTTTTACTGAAATCTATTTTTAACATAAAATAATAATGATTATAAGTAAATACTAACCTAAATACTAACTAAAAAAATTGGACATAAAAGTTCTAATTTTAAACAATTTTAATTAAGTAAATATTGACTATTATTATTTATTATCCCTTAAATATTAAAATATAAAATATTAATGATTGTAACTAAATACTAACCAAAAAGTTATAAATGCAAATTTAACTAAAAAAATTGAACATAAAAGTTCTACTTATAAACAATTTTAATTAAGTAAATATTGGCTATTATTATTTATCATCCCTTGCTCTTTTTCAGGTAGTTCCAGCGGTCATAATTCCATCGGTGTAGAACTTCGGTAGTATACCGATGAAGAACTTGATTAAGTGATTTCCATTAGCTCTTTAATAGGCAAATTTTTTACCATTTAGAGAGTTTTACAAAAACCGAAACAAGTGGTAGTCAGATAGTGCAAGATGTGGGCTATACTGTAGTAGCATTAAAAGTTCCAAACCAAGTTTCGTTGATTTGTTTCGAGTCATGTAAGATGTGTATGGCTTGGCATTATCATGATGGAACACAACTCTTTTTTTGTGCGTCCATTTTAGTCACTTTTCTTTGTTTGTTTTATTCAAGCGGCCAAGTTGTGAGTAAACGAGGCTGAATCAGTTCGTAACACACAATTCCCCTCCAATATCATCAAATATTCTACAAAACCGTATTTTCCGTCAATCTAGGTTTTGAGGTCGTTTGTACATGATTCAAATATGATTCGATTTTAAACAATCGCTTCACATTTTTTAATTTTATTCAATATTACGGAAGCTGGTATGGATACAATAACTAGCACCGATCAGGCAACTAATATTTACTTTTCTTTCAATATTATTGACCAATTGAAGTCTGAGATTATTGCAGATTGCACCGAAATTGTTAACGAATTCAGCAACGATCAGTTAAAAGATTCATTGAAATTCACGGAATTGGAATTATTTGATGGCCAATAATGCAAATGTTATTCTCGTAATACGTGATCTTGGAAATCACATGCCAGTCATACTTCATGTGGCTGCTCGACACTTAAAAGTCTTGTGCTTGGGAATACTTGAAATACAAATAATGTGGATTCGATAAAACTCATGTAATTTAGAGATATTTTCTTTTGAAGTAACACGTACAGTAGCGGACAATATAACAGCATTAACTAGTAAAAATAATAGATTTGTCATTGCTCCAATGATCAATGTAGTTTCAATTATCACGATCGAATAGCATTAAGTAGATTTTCAATAGTAAAATATGTTAGGTAGAGAGAAATATAAAGAATATAATTTTCATTTTCAATATCATATCATAAATTTCTTTTTAAATTTAAATTTTGTATTATGAAATTCTAATACTAAATACTAATACTACAAAGTGTAAGAAACACAGGTAGTTATACGAACAATAATAAACTAAATTCTAGTAGTATTAATAAAAAATAAAACTTTGAAAAGTACTTCATTGAAGAATAAAAATATCAATAAGTTCATTTTGTATCGAGTTCGCTTTTAATAACGTATATGATTTAAATACTTTGGTAAATGATGTTCAGAATTTTGTTTATGCGGTTTTGACTGTGAGTTGAAATTATTAAAATTTAAATATAAAAATTGCCGATAGATGTTTGACGTAAGAAAAAGCTTTCCTAAGAAAAAATTTTCTAAAGCTTCTCGAACAGTATGCTTTAAAAAGCTTCTGTTAACTGTTGCATCACCTTAGTCAGATTCTGATAATGTTAACACATTTAATTTTTTTATTATTATTTTATTTCTTATTATTTATTTATGTTGAAGCTAGTTGAGTCAGACACTTGAGCACTTTTACACTCTATTAACTGCGAGGTTTCTTCAAAACCCCTCTCTACTTTACTTATAAGAAAATTAATAAATTTATGTACGATTGCAATCGAAGATAATTATTAATTACTAATTATCTTTGATTTAATGCATTAAAAGTTTGGTAAATTGAGAGATAAAAACTATTTGATTTTAGTAAAACATTCATTATATTAAGAAAATCATTATTAGCTAATTTTAACATTCATATATCGAGTTTTAAGTATATTTTTTAAATTAATTAGCATTGATAAATATATCCTCAATGCATTGCAAGAACTTTTTGAAATATACTAAATTTTTGGTTAGTCACTAAACATTAGAGTTAGATACTCGTATGGGGTACACGTGACGATATTGATTTGTCAGTGGCGTCAGATTACATGGAATAGAACTACTTTAGAATTGTACTGAGAGTAGGAGGTGTATGGGTTCCTGATAAAAAGGAACAGTGCGGATAATGAAAAATTGCATGTGTTACTAGCATTGGGTATAAATCGAATATAGTGATTAAATGATTAAATTTATGCGATTTTAAACAAAGATGAATTTACATATAGCTTTCAAGGTTTCAGCATCTTTTTGTGTTAATTTCATTTATTTTAGCTTAGAATTTGTAACTCGTTCAAACTTGTGTAGTCTTCTAATATGGAACGTGTTTATTAGCCATCATTAAATACGTAATCCGTAATAATCGTTGATAATTAATTTAGTAAAATTTATTTTCGTATGTTATTCCAGCAAAGGTAGAGCAGAGCGTACCCACCAAGTGAATTGCTGTCATTTGGAACAGAACGCATTTATCGTGTGTTATTCATAATAAAAAGCAGGCACTTTATTTTATGGCACATTCACACTCGACTAAGATTAGAGTGCGAACTGTTTCTGTGATTAGGAATACGAAGTGAGTAAAGTTGGTTTCGTTCAACTAAAACAATACAAGGCAATCATAACATCGACAGTTGAGATTTACGTTGAGGAACCGTCGCGATTATAACGACTTTGAAGCTTTGATTTAAAAGAAGAGACCAGTGATCTCAGGGATACGTTAACGATGGTTTGCGAAACTCTTCAGAATAGAACGATTTTTGATTTTGTGCTAAATTTCACCAAATGTGAGAGAAATAAATGATAAAAAATTGTTAAATGTAAACACTTATTGTGCATTCAAATAATTTATTAATTCAATAAAAATACTCGTATTTCATAAAATATTATTCCAACAATTTTATTGAACGGTTTCAGCTCGAAGTACGTTGTTGACTGCAATTTTGAAAATAATTACGAGCGATGCTAGAGAATTGTCGACGAACAGAGCGCAATTTCATATCTTTTTGAAAGTATCTTGTTTTGACTCAACTGAACAACACTTCACAGTGAACACAAAACGAAGTCCAATAAAATAATCTAGGGAATGTAAATATTTTATGGATGTTATTTCGACAATAAATCGCATGTTTCGCGTTGTTTGATTTCTGGCCATCATTAAATTTATTGCCGATTTGTCAATGCAATTAAACTCGATAAGAATTAATAAAGTTTAGATTTTCGATTTCATATGCGATAAGTGCTTTAAAATTTATCATAAAATAACTTCTGATATTTGCATAGATAGTGCCTTCAGTAGAAGATAAACAAGTGGCCGTAAAGGAACTACAGTATCGGGTTAGTTCCTGTGAAGAGAAGTGATTGTCGCAATAATGAAGTAAGCATTTGAGATTTTCAAAAATTTTGTAAAATAATAAAATATTTGTTTTGCAAATTTATGTGAGTTTCCATTGTATTGTATTTGAAATGTATTTGAAGTGAAGTAAAATTTATGTTCGGGCTAATATTTTACAAAAATAATTATAAGAATTTTATCAAAAATTAATCCAGGAAATCTAAATTATCATATTGCTGTGTTATCATATTAAAAGATGATATAAATATATTTTCACACAGTTATCTTAACTGTTATCTGTAGGAATGCCAGAGTATATCATTAATATGGTTTTTTCTGAAGTGATAATGTTCCAAGGCCAAGAGGTATTTTAATTCGTAATTGACAATGAAGACATAAATTACCAAAAAATATATTCATGCCATATATTATATAAAGACAAATAAAAAGATAATGCAATGTATCATTTTAAAGATTTATTGTTTCATTGAAGACAGATTGCTTTATTTACTCTCCTAAAAAAATACACGTACGTAAATATCTTAAGTGTAGTATATAACCCATGTGAAACTCTTAAGTGTGATGATTTTGATTCGATATTATCTTTATGGTACGTCACTTTTTTTAGGAATATTTGAAAAAATATTTTAAATAAACAAGAAATGTTGACACATTCGTTTCCATTATTATTTGGAACCTTTTGCGATACCATATAGTCGCAGAAATAAATTATCAGCCGTTAATTACACGATTAACATTATTGATCAATTTTCGAAAAGAAATCAGCAAAAATTATTAAACGTTGAATAAAGGAAAAATGAGGTATTTGTCGTTTATTGGCGCTGCTCGGATGCAGAGTTGATGACTGGGAACTTCATACAAAGTATTCTGTATTGGTATAGGACTGGTATTGTTTGAGTGATAAGTTTTTTGTAAGGTCTTTGGTGTTTGACACGTGTTTTGACATCTAACAGCTGGCTTGGAGTTTCTGATGCTAATATTAACTCTACAGATTCGTAATTGAGTGTTGAAAAAATTTTGTAGTGGCATATCTGAACACTTCTCATTTTTCTCAATCTTCATTAAAAATAACCGCTCAATTATAGAAGTTTCTTGTAAATTACTATTTTACTATTAAGAGATTATATTACTTATATCAGTAATTTCATTGAAATCTGCAATTAGAATTCTCTTAAAAATTAATAACACATACATTCAATTACATTACTTAATCAAATACCCTGTTCTTCTATAATGAAAGATAATAAGGTGTTTAAACAAAGTCTAAATATGTAAACATTTCTTAAATATTATTTTTACGTATTATTATCTTATAAGTATTATTAAGTGCTATCAATAATTATCTTATAAATAAATGGTATCTAATAGAAACGATATTAAACAAAATGGTCAACAACAATTGGAAACCACACAGCCGGCAGCAAATGAAGCAAACGCCGACTATGATCCACATGAACATCGGAACGTCAAAAATCCAACAACGTAATTATTATTTTTAATAGAAAATATCGGCATATCCTGATAAATACCCGTGGTTTATGTTTCAGTAACTTGCAAACTTTCGCACACTTTCTGAAAGCCTCCATTGGCACTGGTGTTTTGGCAATGCCCAGTGCATTCGCCAACGCTGGGTATGTTAATGGACTCGTACTGACTCTTGTAATTGGCATCATTGCGGTGCACTGCTTACATATTCTGGTCTGTTTTTTACGCTTATTTTTTTAGTTAGTTACTAAATTGAACCCTAATATTTATTCGAAATAGATTAATTCAATGTACGAGCTGTGTAAGCGAAAGCGAGTGCCTTATCTCACGTTTTCCGAAGCGATGACAATTGGTTTCCAGGAGGGCCCGCCTTTTCTCAAATGCATTGTGCCGATAGCTACGTAAGTATTGATGAAGATACATTTCAATTCAGTGTGATGTGCTTTTGTTTGAAATCAAAGGGCGCCTGCAAGTGGGTAAGGTGTTGTTTGAGGTACAAGTGTTACGATGTTACGAGTATTTATTTAAGATAAAAAATCGGTTTGATCTCTGTAAATAGTATACAGAAATAATTTCAAAAAACTGCTGCAATAAAATTAATATGTAATTGATAAATGTTACTCATACGTCATGTGTTTTGCGGCACGTCATGCGGTTTACCTGATTAAATTTGTGTTTGCTTGCAGTCCGTTCGTCGATGGTTTCCTAGCATTTTATCACTTTGGCATATGCTGCGTTTATGTGGTTTTCGTTGCGGAGAGTATAAAGCAAATCGTGGACGAGCACCTAACAGTGTTGGACGTTAGAATACATATGTGCTTTCTGCTGGTGCCACTTTTTATAATCTACAGTATCAGAAATTTGCGGCTGTTGGCGCCATTTTCTTCAGCGGCAAATCTGCTCTTGCTTGTGGGTAAGCAAATTGTCGAGACGATGCTTAAGTGAAATTTAGAATAAATTTTTGTTGTTATTCGTATTGACAGGTTTTGGCGTTATTCTGTACTATATTTTTGATGATTTGCCACCGATATCAGAACGAAAAGCAGTGGAAGACATATCAAAATTGCCAATTTTCTTTGGCACAGTGCTGTTTGCATTGGAAGCAGTTGGTGTGGTAAGTTGATGCATTCATTTATCTTCCCTTTATTACAATTTATTAATTATGCAATAAATTATCTGTAAGATACTTGCGATTGAAGAAAACATGGAAACACCCAAGGCATACCTGAAGCCACTTGGTATAATGAATCTTGGCATGACGATTGTGTTAAGCATTTATGTTGTGTTGGGTTTCTTTGGCTACTGGAAATATGGGGATAAGGCTCTAGGTAGCATAACCTTAAATATACCACAACAGGAAATGTAAGTTAAGAGCGCTTAAATATAAAAATCAATAAAATATTCAAAGGACATTAAGGCACGAAATGCAAAAAAGTGAATTTCAAAATTAATTCAATTTTACGTTAGTGCCCAAAGAGTCCATGTCAGTTCTTTGACCTGAATACACTAAAGGTAGCGACAGCCTATGTGTTTGCATTAAGGACCTTAATGCAAACACATAGCAGCATTAACATTTTCATATTTTGCAAAATCACATTGCATATTGCGTGCATTAAAATATTGAATTAATGCATCGGATTAAGCCGCAAAAAAAAATAATTAATCTCTTTTGCGACATGTTAATCACACTTTCAAGGAATTTCATTTATCTCCACAGCCTCGCGCAAATTACAAAAATTCTTTTCGCCATAACAACTTGGATATCATATGCGTTGCAAGGATACGTCACGGCCAACATTATCTGGAATAAATATTTACAGAAGCGCATTAAGGACACAAACAAGCATGTGCTCTTCGAGTTGCTTGTTAGAGCCGCCATTGTCCTCTTGACATGTAAGTATAAAAAACCTTTGACACAATTTTAGTTATGCAACAAAAAAGAATAAATCATCACCAAAAACAATGTCCATCAGAACATCGACTATGAAAAACAAAAACAGCACGAGGAGAGTATTAGGTAACAACAAAACAGGTTGAGAACTATTTTTAACTTATAGACAATTACTACAATAAATAATAATAAAAGTAATGACGAAGACAATGTCCATGAGAAAAATTAAGTGTTCTTAGCAAGTGGATTTCCTTACAGATTAAATAAGAATACAAATAATATGGGGTGTGTTCGAAGGTAAATTAGATGTTTTTAAAATAAAGCCTCGTAGTGGCGCCATCTATTGATAAAAACTTTCAGCGGTAAACTCTCTATACCGATTACAAAGATATCTATAAGAATATAATTAGGAAACAATGGGCAGAAAAATTATTTTTTCTGAAGTTTTAGCTTTATTAAATATATCTGTATAACTTTCATATTTGAATACATTTAAATACATCTAGGAACATCTATATTCTTTGATTAACTTTTATGTATTCATAAAAAGAAATTGCATTGTCTTTTATCTTTTCGTATTCTGAAAACAAATTCTAACAATGATATTCAAAAATGTCGTCATTATATTGACTTGATAAATACTTGTAGGATTTTCCATTGATACTGAAGAAAGTATAGAATCTTTCATAAGATAGCATATATTTTGAACAGCTGTATGAGTCGCCACAAGTGCTGCATATAGGTGGGTTAAATTGAAGTTCTTCATAAAGAATTCCTTAACCTTTTAAGGAAGATTCCTTTTAAATAAATTGTGGTGTCATAACCAGTGTATGATAGCCTCATTCACTTTCACTCGATTGGAGTAAAACACGTCCGCATGAGCTATGTATATATTTTATAGTATTTAGAACTATATTAATATTTATAGAACTCTACTTAGAGAATGACAGTACTTTTATAAAACTATTATAATCTACTCGATTAAAGAAAATCAAGAATGTCGGAGTGTAAAAAGAAAAGTAAAGTAGAAATGTAAGCATCTAGTATATATCAGAGACATGGAACCATAGCAAATCTTTTAAGCTAACAACTAATCCTAACTGAATAGAAGATATTTAGCGTTTTGAAAAAAGGAAAGAAGGGAAGAACAGAAACTTATTATATTATCACGGGCAATACTAATACAGTTGTTAACTTATTTATTTGTCGTGTATTGACATTTTACATTTTACTTGAAAATGACTATTACCTTTTTTCTTAATCCCATAGGACAGCTTAGTGACTATAATTCAACAGTAACAAGAATTATTAAAAATCCTTTTTCTTTATGTTCTAATTTTCACATTAGCTTCGACAAAGTTGTATTTAAAGTGTTTTAGTTCCTAGCAGTATTTCTGAAAGCGATACAGTTAAACCATTTAAACCACAAAAATTCGATTAAAGAAATTAAACGGATTTTAAAAGAATGACTATTTTTTTAATGAGAGAACATTGCATCCTTTGTTTTCGCTTGAATACTTTTTTATTCATTGTGATTGTTTCACATTTTAATATAAATTTTGCTATTTTTACAACGAACTTCAACTTCAACTTCACCTTCACTGCTTCCACAATCATTATTTGCATCATGTCGACTGCCACTGTTACTGCCATCGCTTCGCCATTGCCTCGCCATCGCCATCGCCATCAACATCGTCATCGCTATTGCCATTGCTATTGCCACATATTCAACCATTTAAACGTTTCCGAACCACGAAAACATTTATGGCAATTTTCACATCAATTTTCATTGCAGTTTGTTGCGCTGTGGCCATACCCGATTTATCGCTCTTCCTCTCTCTGGTGGGTGCATTTTGTTTGTCGATTTTGGGCCTGATTTTCCCGGCGCTGCTACAAATTTGCGTGCAGTATCACACAGGATATGGACCTTGGAAGATAAGATTAACCAAAAATTTATTGTTGGTGGCATTTGGCGCATTCGGTGGCATAATTGGTACATATGTCAGCATTGTTGAGATTGTCGAGGCTTATAAATAATTTTTGTTTCATTTTTTCAATACTCGTTCTTCCGTTTATTCGTAGACAGAGGAAGGTTTGTGTAAATAAGTTTAAAATATTCACCAAAAAAATTAATGAAAAATTACAATAAATAAAAATCTATACATACAAACTGTGAAATGCGTGCGGCGCACATAATTATGTAAATATTTGTTCAGGGATCTGGAGCATGGAGCTGCCAGTATCGTGGCATCGCAAAGTTGTGTAAACAGCGTCCGGCATAAGTTCTGTATCAGACGAGCGGAATTCTGTACAAACTTTCCACCACAACAAATAAGCGACACGTTTGGGCTTATTAAGCGAGCATTTAACAACGCATATCATTATTAGCCCAGGACCATGTACGATTCTCCTACTTCTCGCACGTATTGGTGCAGTGGTCGTTTTTAGGCACGTTGTGGTTTCAAGCTGATTTGAGACTAGGATAATACAGCACAACACTGTATTTCTGTATTTCTGTACTTCTGTTTGCTGTCTGCGGAGGATTAGTGTTTGCGTTGCGTTAAAGCTGCTCCGCTCTGCCCGGCAAGTGTCATTGCGGGCGGATATTTTACATATCTTTTAAGTCCCTAATGACGTAAACAGCCTAGGCCATGTCTGCTTGCTGCTGCGTGACGACAAAAGAAATTACAACATTAATGTCATAATTATTTTAGGTTTTCGGTCTGAGCAAGGATGGTTAAGATAGGTGCACAAATCAAGGATAAAATGGTGGTTCCAAATTCTTGATACTTTAATTTTGAAATGGGTTTTCATTAGGACCTATTAGACAATGAACTGTTAAATATTAGATATCACAGGTACGAATATAAGGGGATTGTTTTTTTATAATATTTTGTTATTAATAGAGAGATAAAAAATTAAATTTAAAATTAAACAGAATAATTTGATCACAGACAATTAAAATTATTATAAGCAAAAAAATCAAAGTTAGGAGCAATAAGAATTATAGCAATGAATTTGTGGATAAATTGAAATGTTCCAAAAGCATTCTTAACGTACAGGAAGACAAGTCGGTACCAATCCAAAAAAAGCCTATATTAGTAGCATTTATGTATATTTAGAAGAACAATTTTGAAATCATTTCATGCGATCATTTATTATATAATAAAGAAACCTAATTTGGACTTAATCTTACATATGAATGTAAAGTCTGGACATTAAAATATACTGGCATCGTCCAGTTGTTTGAATCTTGTTACAAATCTATGGACCTTTTCAACTGGTAGGTAGCTCATTTAAAATTTTCAACAGTGAGTCAGATGAAATATAAAAGTGAAAAAATATCATAAGATACGACTAACAGTATAAGACTAAAGAATTTTTGTCGATAGAGACGCGGAACGAACTGTTGTTAGAATATCAGAACGAGAAAGAAGAAAGGATATTATAAAAAGCATATGATGATGAAGAGAAGTGATAGAGGAAGGACTCATCCACCATTTAAGGCCGGGGTAAGAAAGAGGATAAACAATGATATATTTTAAATGTTACGGGCTTGGTTCCTACAAATGGATTTGTAATCCACATTAAAGTTTGTTTGCATAAGTAGAAAATAGTATATAGAATATGTAGGGATTGTAGGCTACAAGTGCAGCAGTCATTTTTATTAAATCGTTTGTGCTAACAACTATAACCAAGCCAAAGGAATCTAGTGGAATCTAGATTTATGAATCTAGTGTTCTCGTCAATGCATAGATCAAAAATAAACGGTCGCTAGATGTCTCACCCTTCCTAAGTAAACTATACTTATGTTAAATATACAACTCAACATAAATGTAGTGTAGTTCAAATCTTAAACTGATTTAGAAGTCTGTAAAATCTAACTACTGCTTAATTTTATTACTAACATACATTTGAGTTATAAGTATTTCAGATTTTTTGCTTTTCAACTTAATTAAATACTAAACTATTCAACAAACAATTGAATATTTTTATTTGTTTTTCAAATTTAATACCACAAACCAAATTTAATGGCAAAAGAAATCAAATACAGGAAATCAGATACACTTACGAAACGGAAACCAAGTGGAATGGAAAATGACCACAATTAACGCAAAGTTACCACAGACGAAGCCATGCAAATCTGTTCGAAGGACTCTGATAGTAGTGCCTTCGAGTGTGGGATAAAGTGAAGGATGTGAGAGGATGTAGACGACATGGAGATTGATTTGAATTAAATCTGAAATCGCAAAAGGAAATTAATACGAATTATTGTTAAATGCAATTAAATTTTTTTTGCATTTGACTTTTTTTTTGGAAAACAATAGTAAAGAATTAAAATAATAAAGAGAATTTCAAATTGATTGTAGAGCAGAGCTTAAAGTAATGAATAGAAAAACATTTCCTGCAAACTTCCTTCGGCCGGCACATCTAAGTTGATGTGATGTTCGCTTACAAAAATAATTTTAAAGCACGAGTGAAGCGGAAATAAACTCTTCGCCAAGAAATGTGTAAATGTGTTCAAGTACCAACGAGTGTCCACACTATTTTGAGTTGTGAGAAAGTTCCGACTTGATTGGGTTTCTTCAAACGAAAGCGGAGCTACCACCCATTGGGCTGAGCACTACTGACAATCCGACAACATTTAATTAGATTTCTGGAACACTTTCTGTTCATTACAAGTAGAAAAAGAAGCATGAGAATTTCATTTCTGGGTCGGCATTAGAAGGGTAGAAAATTCAATTTGTTTCATATTAATTAGGCGCATAAATTTTATACCAAATTCTCTTCATTTAAAAGATATATTTTGATGCTTTTGTTAAGTTTGGCAAATATGTTTAGGCATTCAAATGGATTTGTTGGTGTTTTTAGTTTGGAGTTTCAATTCAATATTTTAACAAATTTAGTCCAATTCTTCTTGGAGACATAAGATAGTGTCAAACTAAACGATACGATGTTTTACAAAGTACATTGAAGAATACTGTCGTGAATGATTTCAATTTTACTATTTCAGTAATTAATTATGTTAATTTTCTGTTCTTGGGTTGGTAAATATTTTGTTTTAATTTTAAATATCTTTTTCCTTACTCAGCAAGACTTGTTAAGACTTATTTAACGATTCACTTTACCAACCAGCGCAATAGATTTGAAACCTCCTAAAATCTTTAATAAAAATTAAAACCATCTTCAAGAAGAAGTGCCAATATTTAATAATACATACTGCACATGCATTGCACAGTGGCAGAGTAGCTAAGATATATAGTTTTTTCAGCCTATTTAAATTTTACATAACCGATAGTGACCTGTCAGTAAACCCTATATATGGCGAATACCTTGTAAGGAATTGTGATTGTCAGATTTTTTTTTATATAAAAGGAGCCAACTATCGCCTAAGATAGTTAAAAAATGTAAGCGACTTATTCACGCATTAAGTGGTAGTATCTAGGTAATCCTGGTTTGAGTTGATGTGTACCATATGCAAATATAGTGAAAGCACGTTGATGACTTAGTTAAACTTTATGTCCGTTTGATAGAAATTTCTAACTCAATCTCTGCTCCTGCCAATCACAGACGAAAATCTACACCTGGTAATTTTTTTCGACAGGCTGATTCTGGAGAGGGCCATTGTTTATAAACAGCTAGATCAAAAGCGGGATGTCTAACATTCAATACAAACAATCAGATGGCTTGACGCTAGCTGGGGATGCCTTGCACAAATTATTGTAGCACATATATATTGGCGATCGTAAATTATGTTTAGAATACCTGTGGAGTCTGTATTCTGTATACGCTAATTCACATAGAGGAGTTCCAACATTTGCATTGATCAGACAATTGCAATTATTAATGCGTTCCATTGCTTCTAGTTTATAACACTTTTTGTCAATAATTTACGGTTTTAGGCACTGTAGGATCCTATCTTGTGTGATTAATAAACTAGTTGATGGAGCTTATTTTTCTGTCCAAGTAGCGCAAGACTCCTTTGAGATACCAAAACACCAGTTTTGAAAAACTTTGCTTTAAAACGAATAAATGAGATTGTTTTTTGAAGACCTGTGTTATGAATGTCCGCCAGCCACCTTAGGTAGTGGACATGCATGGTGGAAAGTCATCGTCTTATTGGCGTACGGAAACTTGTATATCATTTTTTCTTGGCTAGTTATTTTTACGTCTTGGGTCCACGTCTCTACCTATAGAAGTTATAGTTCTTTCGTTAATAATGTAATAGGTTTTATTAGACATTTAGAGTTACCCATTTTTGTTACTGCTAGAATCTTAACTTTAGTATCTTATTCATAAGTAAATGTTTTATTATTAAAGCTTAAATACTTCAATAGCTTTTATGTTAAAAATTGGTTTAGGAGAGTTGGTAATTTCGAAGGTTTTAAGGCCTGTATGGGAAAGAGATTACTTTTGAATATATTTCCAATTTTTAACTGCTAAAAATTGCTCAAGTTTTGTGAATAGTTAACTGGGAAATTTCAGTATATTAAAGATACAATACGAGTATAATATTGCACTGCAACAATGCTATTAGTAACCTTCACTGAAGCGGATATAAAAGTTGAAAACTGAACAAATGTTCTATTATTAAATGTGGAAATTTTTTTAATGGGGAAACCTCAGCAAAGCATAGAACAATTAATTTGAAAAAAAAAAATTATTTTACAATTTTGCATAAGCGGTTGACGATTTGCTGTTGTCAAAAGCGAATGCACAAAATTTAATTAGTGCAATTAATTTAAGTTTGCTCAGAATTTGATTGATTTTGTGCTGGTTCTGGTCACAGTAGTCTAATACTTCGACACGAACGCAGTAGGGAATTGATAAATTGGTGGACAAATGCTTTGCTAAACTAAGTTGTGTCATCACCAAATTTCGGAGCAACATAAGTGCAGGCCACTTGCAATATATTTTTCGGTTCACAATGTTTTTGTTGACACGAACTCGAAGTTCGAACCATCAAACGTAATTTAATTACTGAAAAACTGAAAATAGATCACCAGAAATCAATGTTCGTACAATTTTCAATTTAATGGATGCACTTGTACTCCACAAACTCACCCATTATTTAGCATTTATGCTGTTATTGATTGGCCGACT